TTTTCAAAAGTCCAAACGCTGCAGACTATGGTGACAATCATGGAAATTCACTTTTTAACAATAAAATACACACAATGCCAATTTTGCCAAAATTTTCCAAAGAAAGTTGCCAAAATTAATTAATGTTGGCAAACTTTGCGTTTGCCACAAACTATGAGTTCTGCAATAAACTCAATTTAACTCATGCATTGATGAAAATTATTTATTGAATAATTTAAGAAGATAATAAATTACTTTGCAAGTTTTGCATAAAAAACACTAATACAATATAATAACAATTTAATTATATGTATGTATTTTTTTAAATTCAAATTAATTATGATTAATTTGAATCTAAAGATATTCATAAATTTTTATTTTGTAAAATTGATCACATATTAATTATATAAATTTTAGATATTATAATTTTCATGAAATCAATTTAAGGAAAAATTGTTACAAGCTAAGCGATCAAATTTATTTAACTTAAATTTTTTTTTTACAATCATTAGTGGTGATTATATTGTCACTATATAAAATAAACTCAAACAAAATTATTGATGATATTTCTAGTATTTTAATACTTAAAAGTGTCATCAATAAACCTAAAATGTTTCATAATATGTAGCTTGTAATGGTTGAACAATGTATGTTTGACATTTGGTTGTGCATGTGCAATCTTGTGATGTGATGACTATACGTGTTATTGGATTTGACTTTTTTTTTTGGATGAATGATATACATAAAAAATATTGTTATTTTATGCAAGATTATATTTCATATCATTTTATAGTAAGCAATATTGTATTCATATGTATGTTATTTTTAAAATTCTTTGACCTCTCATAACTCCATTGTAATATTCTTAAAAAACTAATAATTATTTTGAAAAGGATCTTCTTAATTTTCTTTGAAATTTTGCTAAAAAAATACTTAAACAATAAAAAAATTTCATTTTTGTCAAATCAATATAAAAATAAAGTTCACCTAAATATAATTTATTTAAAATTTTTTGATGTGAAGTATGAATATTATAATGAGATTCAAATAGATGAAAAAATATATTTTATTCAAATATATCAGATATAAACATGATAAATTTAATCGTTTCAAACTTAATACAATTTTTTTAGATATCATACAGATTAAAATCTAACAACAAATCAGAAGATGAAAGTTATCCACAAGTTGAGAAATTTAGAATAAAATTGAATCCAACATTTAAAATTTATCTTCATTATAATATTTAAATTAAATACATGAAGATTTATATCAATTTTTAGTTTTGTCACTAAATTTCCGAATTTTTTATATATTTAATAATTAAATCCAAATAATTGCAATAAATTCAATAAAATATTGAATAAAATTAATTTAAGAAAATGATGATTATTCATTACTTCCTTCAAAATATTTTTCATATATTTCATAAATAATTTATTTTTTTCTTAAAATTGATTTTGCTCCAATTTCTCACTCTTTAATAGAATTTAATCAAAAATTCATATTAAATTCACATATTCATCAAACTATGTTCAAACAATGTAAAATGAGAATGTTAAGATGAATATATATATTTCAAATCAAAAAAATATTATTAGATTCATAAATAATTTAACGTATAAAACATATGTTGGATACATTTCATTCTAGTCATTTATAATTCTCCTTGGCTGCTAACTAAGAGTAGTTGTCACTACTATAAAAAAGGAATTTGTAAAAAATGGATTTCAAGCACTAAATTTTAGTTTCAAGAAGTCAACTTACATGTTACAAGAAGATGAAACATATACTGTAATATATAGTACATATTGTTTTTCCTATGATAGTTTAGGAGAATAACAAAAGAAGGGTATATCTTCATGACCAGTTTTTTCTTTGGATTTTAGTTCAACATTGTTTGGACATGAGAAATGTGACAATATGTCTCATAGACAATCAACTTGGATGATCATTCATTCGCTAACACAAAGGTCGTTGAGTTGATGGCTAATCCCTTGCATGAACATCTCGTCCACTTTGAGCACTATCATAACAATGGAATAAAAAAGACGAAGTAACAAACTAAAGTATCGAGGGCTTCACACTAATAACCTACATGGAAGTGCGGACTCGCGGGGTAGAACCCGAATCCGAATGTTTTGTGTGACTTGTGAGTTGCTCTGTAAGTTACGAAAGATCATCTAACGATCGGCCCGTTCAGAGAGCTCTAGACGGCTTTTCTAAGGCATGGAGGAGAAATTTGGATTGGACCGTTGAAAGATGTACGCGCTGTACCCAGTCCTCAACTTGTTACAGTGTATTTCGGGTTGGTTTGAAGACATATTGTTCTTCTTGCATTTCATTTTTGCATTAGCGAGCATGGAACATGATTTTGTATCCCACTTTTGATCTCAGCCACGTACCTGGCTCGACGAGTTGACGCTCCACGTCTGAAATCTGTTCACAATTAATATTAATCACTGTCATAGTAGTGGATTTACTAGCTTCCGAACGACAAGGAGACTTCTACGGCGTGCGTTGCTTGATCGTTGGGGTATGGAGTTCAGATGCAGGCTGGTCTCCAACCTTACAATCCAGCTCGTCGTTGTGAATCGGTTTGGGGCACTTGGCAAAGGGATATGCCATCTGCTATGACAAAGGGCAGACTGCTTGGCTGCAATCGTCATCACAATCTCATCTTCTAACACTGGCATATGGAGTCCAACGATGCCTTGAGTTTGAAGGGTAGCTTGGTGTTGACTGCAGCTTGCCGAACGATTACTTATCTTGTTAACGAGTTTTTTTTATCCCGAGGCTCATATTCATCACCACAAAGTCCCGTGCTCATGATGCAATCTGAGGGCTATCGTTTTCAGGTTCTTTCTTTCATATTCTAAAGTAAAGTTAATTTATAAGGTTTCTTAAATATTGATTTTGATATCAAATATCATAAAAGTCACGATATTGATGTCCTCATAACTTCAGTGTTTTACTCTTATCGCATCAAAAAGTACCTCTCCAAAAAGCTTTTTAAATAATGTTCACGTTTCAAATTCAAAATTATTATACAAGCACAATCAGTTGGGAAAAGAACTACATTTTGCTCTTAGGTACTACTCAAAATCATAGAATTTTTGAATTAATTTGTTCAAGGACTAAAAAATTAAAGAGAAGATGCAGAGTATAAAATTTCGTACAGTTTTCTATAAAAAGGTAAAAGTGATTTAGTACATGATATAAATTTTCAATTTACATTAAAAACTTGATTTTATCCAAATTAATTATACTTTAGATTTTTTTTTTCGAAGGATTTAGTATTCCAGTTTGAAAAATGATGAATATTTGAAAAACATAAGTTGAACAGTAAATTGGACACATTGAAGGTACAGGAGAATATATGCATTTAAATTATAAAACGGAAATATAAATTCCATTAATTACGTGCACTACAGATTGTATGTTTACATTATGAATTATTATGTAAGGAACAGAATTTAAAATAAAATGGGTTGATGTAATTTCACAGTGGATGTAAATGCCTAGGATGGCGCTATAGCGAAGTTAGAAAGGAGGCTTGTGGTACAAGGCACGGTTAGCCTACTCTACACGGCGTGGCGTGCTCGTGAATCTCGGAACTGAAAGTCTAACTTCCTAAGCCCGTGGGAGTTTATCCACCAAGGAAGGCCCAGTTTTTTACACATGTCTTGCAAGTGACCTGACCACGAACGAATCAAGTATGCAGACCACAAATCTCACGCCGCCTTTTGCGAACAAAAAGTTGAGGCATCAGGTTGTCTCTTTACATAGACGGAAACGACCGCACATTCTTACCCAGCGACTGGGGCCTGGGAAATAGAATAAATAGCAAAAAAGGAAAGGAAGACCCCATCAAGTCCAAATCATGACACCAAAGGGGTGGATGTGATTACCCAACAGCGTCATAACGGGGAACATGTCGTACTTCATTTTATTCAAATTAATCTCATGAAGTATCACGCGAATATCTGAAAAAATATCTAGCGTGATTGTAATACTATTAAAAGTTGATTAATTATTAAAGTCAAAATTGTTTTTGAGATTTTGGAGGCTGCAAGGAAAAGCGTTTATTAGGGATGTGTGATCCCTTTTCGTGATATTTTCTGTACGCAGAGTACAATGCTCCTCATCTTTTAAATATCTTCATGATGGTATGGTCCAGCGCATCCTCCTTGTTTGTGCATTTATTTTCCTCTGGATTAGAATTTTACTAATATGCACGTCCCAGAGGAGTAAGCCTGATTTCACCGCTTCTCCAGGAATCAAAAGGATCAGAAACGTAAATAATTGTCAGTAGAAAAATACAACCAACAAGCAGCCACTTTCCAGGAAAATATTTTAGAAAATCTAGGAGCCTAATTAGATGCTAATGACAGAGTCCAATCAGAAGGAGGTGACTTTCAGTTACGAATTTTATGTGGGGACATATGACAACCCCCGTGACTAGAGTAGTGAGGACGATCTTCAGGCAGGAATTTCCGTATTCCATATGTAAGCAAATACTAAATCCCCAATCAACAGCTCGAGAACTCCAGTTCAACAATCATAAAAAACTAAGAAGCACGACGACATGACACCTCCTCCTCCTCGTGACCCGCCCTTCGTAACAGGAAAATATTTGTCGAGCCCCCATAACCAATGGGGATAAATTATTGAGGACATTTTCCCATGAGCCCAATGAGAGCTGCGAACTCCGAGCAACGGCAGCGGCCCAACGGCTGTTTTTAAATGCACCAGTTTAACGGCGTCTCTCAAGCTCCCGAGCCGTAATGTCCGTCGTCACGCAGTCGATCGATCGAACGGGGACGGAAACTGTCGCCGGACATTCTCGAGGCCCTCGCGGCCGCGCCAATGGGAAAGCGAGGCGCGGATTTGTGTGGATAGGATGGCGTGAGCGACGGAGGTCTGCGCTGTTCTCGCGGTATCCACTAGCACGGGGCCCCGGAGCCCTGCGACAACGTAGACAGGATAGAGCGCATTGTGGCCCACACGTTGGCAGCGGTCGCAGCGTGGTTCGGGGATTGGATCGCCCGTGCCTGAATCTCTGAGTCCACCCTCCTCACTTAAGCAGCTCTGCTTTCGCTTCCCTCTGCAGCGCGCGAGATCTCAGCTTACCATTATCGCCCGTCGGCAGCACTCTTCTTCGAGCACTAGCAATCTCGTCGATCGAAGCCATGGCAGCCACCGCCGTCTCTGCCTTCCTGGCCCCTGCTGCCGTTCCCACCTCCGCCGTTCAGAAGTCTGCATTCTGCGGAACCTCCGTCTCTGGTCTCCCCGCCTTGGGCCCCGTCAGGACCGTCCGCACCTTGAAGATCGTTGCCAATGCCCCCAAGAAGATCAACGTGAAGGAGCCTCTCGGTGAGTCTATCAATCGCCTTTGAAATTGGAGTTTTATCGACGAGAACTCTTCACTGTGCCGAAGTTCTCTTCCTCGCACGGTTCTCCGTGAAGTGAATGGAAGATTAGCCGATCAGACTCTCTTTCCCGGTTTACTCAAAGACGCCCCAATCTGGCTTGTTTTCAATTGTATGTTCCATTTTCATTCAGCGCGTCCTTCCTGGAAGAGGCGATTTTTTGCTCAGCAATAGGTTCCGGCTCCATCTTCAGAACTTCTTGTGGCCAGAAGAGCCTCTTGCTGTAGTCGTGCGCAGTTTGAAGTCAGTATATATCTCTGATATCGATATTCCGCCTCTGGCAGGTCCCTCTGGTGAGAACAAGTACAGGGGTGGACTCGATGCCCAAGGGCGCAAGACAAATGGAAAGGGAGTGTACCAGTTCGTGAAGAAGTACGGTGCCAACGTCGATGGATACTCCCCAATCTGGGCACCTGAGGAATGGTCAGCCGGAGGCAGCACCTACGCCGGAGGTAAGCCCCAATCATCACACCGTTGCCATTATCAGCTATGGAACTGGCGAGTACACTAAGTAATTTTTCGGATTTCCGCTGCGATTTCACCAACGATGCATTTGAATGTGAAAATTAAGGAAGTGAATGAATATCTTTCAGGTACTCCCGGACTTCTGTTGTGGGCTGTGACTTTGGCTGGACTTTTGGCCGCCGGAGCTTTCCTCGTCTACAGCACCAGCGCCCTTGCATAAGATGTTGCAAAGAATTAGGTGATACAACAATTGTACATTTAGTTATGGGAAGGTAGTCGAAGATTTATCTGCCCGCCGTTCATGTAATCATATTTCTCTAGCACGCAGATGAGCTCTGGCTTCCATTTGGAAACTTGGATCGTGACAATTATACTTCTCATTCGCTACTTATAAAGTGCTTCTTCAAGACTTCGACATTATCCCCTGCTGAGTGTTGTCCTCGTTCGTTAAATATTCATATTCACTCTTCTTCAACATTAAGTTTGTATCCAAGAGTTTTGTCAGGATTTGTATTTTGATCTACAATGGCTGCCTCTGTTGCCACAGATTCTAGAAGTTTTATTATGAATTGTGCTCAATTTGAGACCCTTGTGTTTAGCGTTGTAGGTTATATTTCAATTTCATATAATCTAAGAATTACAGACTGTTACTTACGGATAGTTAAATATGGATCTTCTTTTCACTAGATTTCAGATGCGACCCGGAAACTATGCACGAGTATCTTCGTGGTTTTTTATAATTATACAAGTGTGTACAGAATAAAAGAAAAGTAGTAATTTCTTCTCTTCCCATCGTATTGAAGGAAAAATGAAAGAAAAAATTGAAAAAGATGAAATATATGGTGAGTGATCAGAGAGACAAGAAAAAAAATTTATAGCTTCTTCAAATAAAAACGGCCATACGAAGAAACTGTGAACAGAATATAGAAATATCTATATTATCCAATTAGCGACCCTTGTGTACAGCGTTGCGGATTATATTCAGGCATGATTATAGTAGTCGACACTCTGTAAGATCGCCTAAATCACCTAACCTTTATGGTGAGTAGGCAGTCACGATTTGGCATGTACATGAACTAATCAAAAGAGAGTGAACACGTATGCTGAATTGATGGATGTTTTGTTTCAATTTTTATACATTGATATAAATTTTTTAATATAAATAAAAATCTAAAAATTGCTCTGATAAAAATTTTTAATAAACTAAATTAGCCTAAATTTAATTTTTAGAAATTAAATTGGTCTAAATTCTTTTTAGTATACTAAATTAACTTAAATGAACTTTGTGACGAGACTAAACTCGCTTAAATTAATGTTTTTGAATAGACTAAAGTAATCTTTTCGAGTAGACTTAATTATACGTATTTAAGTAATTTAGATGGGATACTATTATATATGTTATATTTCATTTTCATACAATCTAAAAATTACAGAACGACACTTAGGGATAACACGGATCTTCTTTTCACTAGATTTCAGATGCGACTCTGAAACTATGCACGTCTATCTTCGTAGGGCTTTTATAATTATACAAGTCTATGTACAGAATAAATGTAAAGTAGCAAATCTTCTCTTCCCATCGTTTTGAAGGAAAAACGAAAGAAAATTATTTGAAAAGGATAAAATATTTGTTGAATAATTAGAAGAAAAAAAAATAAACATAGAGATACTTGAAATAAAAACCAACATTCGAAAAAAATTGTGAACAAAACATGAAAAAAGATAAATAAGCAAAATTAATACGAATGATCCTTGGAAGATGAGAACACTTACCTAAAAATCTAATAGGAAATTTACTTTGAAAAGGAAGGTTTAGTTAAGTTAATTTAATTCCAAATTGAAACAAAGTAGTGCGCACTTTCTTGTAATGTACATAAAAATTTATCTAAATGGTCATAGGGAAAGAAAAACACGTTCGGTAATATGTAAAGACAAAAATCGGCCTGTGAATATAGACTTGACGCGGCCACTATAAATGTATTTCGCCTAGTATTGTTTTAGTGAAATGGGAAAATGTTCTCATTGCATTGGCAGTGAACACGTCAATTCCCCACTGCCTGAATTAATGCATCCAAAATCTGCAGTGTTCATCTTGATTAACATTAGCTCTGATAAGACTTTTCCACCACTCTATGGATCAAATCCTTTATTCAACGCTTGCATGAACAGTTAGTACTATTCACATTAGGATGGACTTTTTAGCTTTTGTGCTAGAAACCAGGCGAGCAATCCCACATGAAGAAATGGGTGAAATAGAAGTCGAACATGAAATGACATAATGTCACGATACCAATCATGATATTCTATTTTTTCTAGCTTATCAATCACAAAATCATCTTATATAACAGGGTGAATGATGATTAAACTAAACTTAGCTATAATTATATTCTCACTTAAAAAAATTACAGTCATAATATTCTATTCATTTATTCTTTTCTAATTCTCAATCACGAAATCTCGTGTAAAGTATAGCTGGGTGAATATAATTAAACTAAACTATAACTAAACTTTAACTTTTAAAAATACTCTAACCAAAGTCACATCTTTACCATTAAATTTTAAATCTACCCATTAAAATTCACATTTTAACTTCCAATAGTACAATTCAAACTTGTACCCATTTAAAAATCATGTGCACATTCACATTAAATAGAGAAATTTAATTCACACATGTGAAAGAACTGAAAAAAACTTCTAAATCAGGTGTGCACAATACTCATTTGGGAACGCGAAAATATACTATTTATTGAAGTGTATATTTTGAAACCAATGACGAGCTTTAAACGCTACACTTCCCGATTGTTATTTAAATGTAAATCTTCGTCATAAAACTTTGACAATCCTCATTGTAGACATGAACTCCCCTATCCAAGCAACCTTGATCAAACCTTCAACATGAAACTTTGACCATACTCATTATAGACATGAACTTCCTTATCCAACCTACCTGTTTCAAACCATCGTATCCATGTTGAAGATATCTGATCGTGGACGGATGTAACACTAGGGTTTAGAGAGAAGCTCACTCGAAGATAGAAACGTAAACTCTGAAGATGAGAGATACCAACAATGGTTATCCTCTCCCTTATATAGCTCTTACCAACAAGTACAAAGAGATAAGATCTAATCCCCACCATCCATCCCACTCCTAGTGGATGGATGACGTGGCGGATAACACTAACAAGCACACGGATCGCTGACGTGGCGTATCCAACTAACACACTCAATCTTTACTTACAAGCACACGGATTGCTGACGTGGCACTGTTAACTAACATATCCACTCTGTACCTACCAAGTGCACGGATCGCTGACGTGACAGCTATGACTAGTGCACACTAAAGTATCTACATCAATATTTAGAGTAACCTCTACTTTAGTTCTAACTAACTAAAGATGGTTACAACGGACGTAGCTTTGGCTATTTGGATTTGAAGAAGTATCTTTGGTATGTCTCTATGTACGAAATAAATCACGTTAAATTTACCATTAGTGGCTTAATTAAACATGTCAATGATATCCATCTTATCACAAATTTTTTTTTCATGAAAGTCTGATTTTTTTTCATATTTTCATGATATGTACTCAAATTTATTTTTTAAAATATTTATTGGCATGTACAAACTTGTTTTGTAGCTTTAAGGGAATATCACAGCACCAAAATCCAAAATTAATGTTGAATTTATCCCTTCAAAGATACATATTATCCAGCTGCAAACCTACGTCCAGAATTCTTACTCAAGGATTTCGTGTCCTTCGGATTCTTGACCAGTTGCTGTAGCAAGTAAATGGCATATGGAAATGTTAAAATAGTAAGAGCGTTTTGGAAAGTCATACTCCAAAGAATGACACGTACTAGTGTAGTTAGTTCTCAACACGCTGATGCATTAACGAAGTTTCTGTGAACCACAGACTTGGAAAATTGCAAGAGATAAGTACGCGCCTGTGATTAAGATAAAAGCTTTTGCTTTCCTCAAAACCCAAAAACTGCATAATAACTTCGTTTTACCTCAAACCACAACAATCACCTCCTCCTACCCCAACATGACAACCGAACCTTGTAGTTTTTTCAATGTCATCAGCATCATTGGAAGGACTCATTCGTTAGTAGACATAGGGTAAAGTTTATGGGGCCATTTCCGTCCCCAACCCTTCTGAAAGAACCATACTTGAACGTTACCGCTCATACGGCTCTCCAAAAATAATGAACTGATCGAGTCTGATCTATGTTTTATGCTTTTATTATGAAAAGGCAAATTTATGGAGATTTTCATTAAAAAAATTATATGTATTTTGATACATTTGTGATTATGCAATATGTGTAGTCATGACACAAACATATTTAAGCATTATACTGAATGATATATTGTATCTGATACATTTGAGATGATGCAATATGTGTAGTCACGACACAAACATATTTAAGCATTGTACTCAATGATATACTGTAATCCAACATTGTGCTTCTTATATATTCCACTATATTATGGACCTTGTGTAAAGGTATGAAAATCATTTCAAGCTTCGTAAATGCATGTGGTTGCTCTGATCAACGACGCACTAAAGTTTACACAAGCATCAATGTTCACCAAACTTTGCATGAAAGTATAGAGAATGATTTTATCCATGTTGGCCAATGTACGTTTGACCACGTGAGAAACATATATCTTGGTAACCCTTTTTAGGTTAATTCTAGCTTTGTCTGACGATGAGACAAAGGTAAAATTAACTTAGCAAAGTAATCTTGATAAACCAATCCGCTTAATAAGCACATAATTTCATGATTTCTAAATCGACAAGGACGCGAGTCAATACAATACACTGCAATGCGTCAAGTGCAGAGTGTGGTCACATCATCCTCCTTCGACACACTAAAAGGAACAATGCACCTTTTGAAAAAAGAAACACATCAGTTTAAGTAGAAGACGTTATCTGCAAGATTGCTATTCGATCCAAATTCCCACTCGACTGATATACTGAGGCTACTTGATAAATAGTTGTGCATGGTATGCTGTTAATAATAATAACGACGATAATGAAAAGCTTTGATTACTTCCTAACATGTTCTTTACATTTCTTGATCTTCCAAATCAAATACACAGATGAATTAAGTGGTTTTCCTTTTATTCTACCTAGAGCTTATGGAGATGACACATGGATTATGTTTTTTTTTAGATGGGATAGAGTAGGCAGTCATGGTTATTTTAGCCTATCGTATACCATGCCGCCGAAATAACTCAAAGTGGCGCTCCCTCTAGCGTCTAAATTACCTAAGCATCCAGTCTGTATTTGACTCAAAATTGGAGCAAGTGAGGATTTTAGCTGTGAATCAACTTGTTTCCGCGTCATTCTCATAGTTCATCGAGTTGTAATCCAAAGTTTGTAAATTAAATTTTCTCTAGTCCACCGGACTCACAGCACGACTGCAAGTCCCGATTATGGTGACTCTCTCCCGAACCTATCATTCGCTCTAAACCTGTATTTAACACCAAAACGCCTAAATTAACTTTCTTAATGCATCCATATTAAGCTAATTTAGATAATTAAAATGACAGACTAATATAACCATGCCCGAGTATGTGACCGGATTTCATATCATTAATCCTTTTGACTGATTTATTTTAGTTTTACATTTTGAATTACTAAGACACACACTAACATGAACTGTATAAGGATCTTAGACAATTAGACTGCAAATCGTTTAAAGAACTGTATTTACCCTCACACAAGTTTTTAGAGATCGGTGTCATAGATATTCAAACTTCTTTTAGATAACTGACTCTACAAGTAGTTCTTTGACATCAAACATTTCAAGATGGAAGGAAAAGGGCAAACACGTTACAAAGATGTGCTTGAGCCTTATTTTCTAAACAAATGTTTTCAGAATATATTAAAAGTATCAGGATACAACAACAAAACCGCATGCGGAAACGAGGGCAAATCTAAGCCACACTTTCGCATCAAACTGTGTGTCCAGTCCGTGGGAACACACGTGTGAAAAGGCTGCGATTGCTGCCGACTTGGCAAGGACATGAGCCCATTCCCGGCTGGCTTCACAATTGGGCGCAGTCGAGACGAGCATCCACCAGCTCAGCTGCACGAACGTTACGTCAGTGACGGTCGGTCCTTTGAACCTTCCAGCGCCGGTCATGGCCGCGCATCATGGACGCATTCATTTTTTGAATCCTGACGCTCCTTCCGCTTGTAGATTCTCCCGGGAGGGGGAGGAATGGGCACACGCGGCTGCTCCGCGCGCGAGTCAAGTCAAGTGGCGCTGGCTGTAGATTCAGTTCTTGATCGCTGACAAGATTCATTCTTGTTTATTTCCCAGCGCCGGACACTCGTTCCCCTCCTTGGACAGATAGATTCTTCGATCAGCCGTCCATTTCCGTTTCGCCTTTTCCCCGTGCCCTCGAGAGTTGCTGCTGCTGCTGCCGCCTATAAATCATTGCTGTCCTCCAGCCTCGACCCTTGGCAACATTCATTCACTTCGAGGCGGAACCTCCGATTCTTCTTTCTCTCTGTTGTGCCGCTTCTGCTCTTTTGGTCTCCAGGGTAGCATTTGTGTGCTTGCTTGCCTCCAGGCTTCGTGGATTCGGTGGTGGGTGTGTATCCGGCGATTTGGCAAGATTTGGCTGAAGGCGAGAGGCGGAAGGATGTTGGTATTGCAGGCGGCGGTGGTCGGGCCGATTGCTGCATGCAAAGGTTGGAGTGGCAAAGGTTGGGCGAGAGGGGCACCGGTGGTGGTGGTGGCGGGGAGGCGGGGGCGTGCCCAAGATGCGGGGGGGAAGGTGGCTGGGGTGGCAAGTGCGGCTGTGTTTGAGCCCATGAAGGAGCTGGAGAAGGACTTGTTCCGGTTGCCTCAAGAGTCGCATGCATCGTTGGCTCGGCTCAATTTTACCGACTCTTGCGAGTCTTCGATCAATGAGCTGATCAATGTCTTGTACAGCGTGTCCTATCTCTATCACAGCTTGTTTGCCTATTTCGATCGTGACAATGTGGCGTTGCTTGGCTTCTCTCATTATTTCAAAGAGGAGAGTGACCAGCGGAGGAAACGCGCGGAGGAGTTGATGATGTATCAGAACAAGAGAGGAGGGAGAGTCGGGCTCAAACCTGTGCTCTCGGCCCCAGCTGTGGAGTTCGAGGAGGTTGTTAAATCCATGGAGCTTGCTAATTCTCTGGAAAAGTTGTTAACTGAGAAGTTTTATGATCTGCAACGAGCCGCTGAGAAAGCTGGGGACAAACACTTGAACCACCTGGTCAAGAGCACGTACTTAGCTGAGCAAATTGAAATCGTCAAAAGAGTGTCCGAGTACGTGGCACAGCTGAGACGTATTGGAGAGGATGGCCATGGTATCTACTACTTCGACAGAGTCTTAGGCGGACATGAGGCCTGAATCTGCACTATATAGCTACTGTACACGCTGTAGTTATACGTGAACATTCGAAGGTCCTTTTGAAGGAAACCCGTGCTGGATCTAAATCTTTCTTCTTGAAGGAAGTCCGTGCCGGATCTAAAAACTTTGTCCTTGCATTCGCAGTCGGAACTTTGAAGAATGGTACCAACGACTGTGTAAGCATGCAACGGATAGTGGATTGCACCAAGAATACTCTAAGCTGTTAACATGTCAGGACCTTTGACATTTTCCAGACATATTTTGTGTTCTGATGTGTAAGCTTACGATGACAACGTCGTAGCATTCAGGAGTATCACTAAACTGAAGGTAATGACGCACCAGCAGCTGGCATTAATCATGTGCCAGCGTTCGAAATCCGACTGTAAATTTAGTTGATCCAACCAGATAGAGATTGTATAAATTGTTGTGCAGGACTTTCAAAGTAGAACAGGAATTGTCGCAGTAGAAAGTGCGTAACAAGTCTATAGCTTGCATTGCATGCATCAGAGGCTAATCCATTCCACGGCTTTTACAAGAACTCATCAAGTCTGGTCAAAGATGTTAGGAAACGTTTCAGTTCTCAGATAAAAAAACTGATTCCACCATAGCTTGCATGCATCAGAGGCTTTTTCCATTTGATGGTTTTTACAAGAACTCTTGAAGTCCCGGTCAAAGACGTCAGGAACCGTTTCGGTTCTCAGCTCAGAACACTCATTTCTTCATAGCTTGCATGCATTAGAGGCAGATCCATTTCTCATGAGTTTTACAAGAACTCATGAAATCTGGTCAAAGATTGTTATGAACCGTTTCAGTTCTCAGCTCAGAACTCTGACTTTCTGAGTTGCTTTATACTCCAATGTATATAACGTGCAATACTCTTCTTTCATCTGGTACTTTTCTTGACACATATTTCCTCCCATAAATGCAGTATAATCCCGATTTGGCGAATATCAACATCCAAGTAGAACGAAAATATCCTGGACCCATACCATCTTTTAACCACAGTTCTTCCCCAACCTGGTATACCACATCCAATCTTGCAATGTTAATGTCACGGAATATTTGATGAAAAGAAAGTAATATAGCTTGCACGTCAAACATATTAAGTACGATTCCAGTTTCCCACATTCCCACAACAACTCTACATTCCCAACTGTCATCCAAAGAACTTGCCACCTCAACTAGCCAACAACTGCAATTTTGTCTGCATAATCACCTTCCCACATCCTCTGTATTCTTTTCGGCCAGTTTCAATCGGCTTGATACTTTGACCCTGCGGTACGTAAAATTCTTCCGATTTGCGTCTAGAACTTTTCGTGATTTTTCACATTTGAATTTCGTTACTATTGCAAGCCACCACCAGATTGAACTCGATTGTGAACCACAGGCAAAATTCTTCTTCCCATTCATTCATCGCAAGTAGTCTTTAGTATCAGGTAGATGCGTCAAACTGGAGAATGTCAAACCGGGTAATCCGTCGTGCTTTTGAATATAGCAGAACTGTAAAACCAAAAGCCACGACAGAACACTATCATCATAACAAACATCATGAACTATTTCGTTGTAATACAGACATCGTGAGACAGGCATCTGGGTATGAATCAAATACACATGACCCAAATAAACAAAACGAATTGCTTTGGTCTTTCCCAGATCTCATTCAACGTGATTACACTCTTCCTTTCGTGTTATTCCAATAGTATTTGATCATGGACTTGAGACAACGTGGACAGGTCACGATGTCATGCGTGCGATTCCACTCAGATCAAAAGTCTTCGCAAGTATCTCTGCATTCGGAATGTCATTCTCATCAAAGACAAACCACTCTCCTGGATAAAAACACAATCACAAACCAACAAGAGCACTTCCGATAATCCTCCCAACTGCCCAAGTATCAAGACTCTTCCAGAAAGCCCAAAGCCATGGCTGTCAGCTTCTAATGAAAAAGATGTACACTTTTAGTTGGAGCTGATGCAAACCACAAGCTATGGCCCTCCGTGAATGTGATCCTGTGACGCCGATTGTGGGTACTCTTTATGTCTATAATAAATCTCAAGAACTCTGTGCATGCAATGCTGACTTACTCGTAAGGGATCTGCATGTAAGATGCATCTGACAAAAAGGGTACGTCTGCGTACATGCCACTTAAAGCACATCGGATGCAATCTAAAACTATGAACAGAAACGCTGTCGAGACTGCTAGCCAGTAGTGAGCTCCAAGTTTGCCCCAATAAACCGATTGAGGTACCCAATCGTTAATGGTGCCCATTACCTGCAAAATAATCTCAAGAAGCATTCCTGTGACCACATGAAACCTAAGGAAGTGGGGCCACCGGTTGTTGCGAACAATTCCAAGGTATGCCCCGAAGAAGTAGGCCAGGAGGAACCATCCGGGTAGCGAACCAATCAGGATCAGAAAAGGATAGGTGCAGAATTCATAGTCTTCGAGGAAAGCAAAGAGACTGTACGCTGTCTCCGCGTACATCCATGTTTCACTCAGTGGCATGAGGTATGGTACACAGGCCAGAATTCTCCAAAACCACTTGGGCTTCTCTGTCATGGGAGGAAACCCAGTGAAGGAAGGAATGTCCTCTGCATTTGCACGAGGGGCACTTGTGGACCTTCTTTTCCTCGTCGAGAATGCAAGGGAAGGTCTGAGAATCTCGTTCAATCTTCCACTTTCTCCTTGCATGAAGGGTTTGAAGGAGGCCTCAGAGAATGTACCTGCAAACCACGTCATAATTCGTCAGAAAATCTATGACTCTCTGGAGTTTCCCGTCCACAGTGACTAAACGGGATGATGGGACGAGGATACGAGTAAGAACAGAGAAATCATGGAGAGATTGCAGAACCTCTAAGCCTTCCGTCCTACCTACGAGATATCCTATCTAAAAACCTACTCAACTCTGGTTTCCAGAGCCAGAGGAATTTGAACCTGGTCCCAAGTAGCAATTCTTTCATCAGAAGAAAAGGCTCTTCTTTGATCTTTCCGTGAATAGCAAATTTGACAGTAAGTGATATGCGACATCCAATTCATGAATACCATAACACACGAGTCTTTCTGCCAAAGGAATTTCAGGACAAGATTTCAGGACCAAAAGTTGGAGGACAACTTAAACGAGCCCCGCATCTATGTGAGGAAATGCAGTTAAAATTTCAAAAGAACCTACAATTCAGAGCGAATGCAAAACTGACGTGCGTGCGTCGAATTTCTTCCTCATTTTTCTGAGCCCGAAAAGGCTGGAACGTTGAGGCTTCTTCAGACGGAGGGCCACCGAAGGCGAGAAGAAAGACCGAACTCAAAATCACAGAGATGGGAAATCGCAACATGAGACGGAAAGGAAAAATACCGGCAAGAGACGAAGAAGGGCCATTGCCGAGATGACGAATCGAAGCAGACGGGCTGACGACCCGTCGCTTGGAATTTAAAAAACTAGAAGCATTGCCCAAGACTACTCGGGCAGCTGTAGAACTCCTCAATGAACTCGGTGCATTCGAGCAACCGACAGGAGATTGTGCGCAGGGCACAATCCGCTCGACTGGGCGCAATCCGCACGACGCCATCTCCCAAGAGCACTCGTTCCTCTCAAGAGCCCCGCGTCGCGTCACTCTGTGCTGGGCTCTGCAGATTACCGCACCCGCTCTCTTCGGATTTCCCTCGAATGGATTCTGCGTCTCGACCGAACCTTTCCTCCGGGCCCTTGTTTTATTCGTCTTGTGATTCTGATTGCTAAAATAAAAGTCCCCGAGACAAAAGCGAAGAGGAGGCCATATGCATCTCTTGTCCCCCGGATGAGCCCTAATATTCCAAGTGAAGTGCTCCAGAGATAGAGAATTCTCCTTAATGCAATGCGCATATACTTGGGATGATGTTCATGTAACATGGAAAATATGTGATACTCTATACATAAGATATATCCTAAAGTAATTTCGACTAATATGTTATTTGGTGTCTAGGACATTCTACTACTTTTTGCTACACTACTTGGTGTATGGTTTTACATCAAAGTATACGATTGTGACCAATGTCGCGTATGGTTTTCATCTTGGTCACCGGATAATGATTAGCAAATCCTTTATCTGCTGGCGATCTTGAAGCAAGCCACATGCTACTAAGTAGAGAAATTCACAGATAGAAGGATTCAATATTAGGCAAAAGAGATGTAGGCTCACATCTAACCTTGAAGAAATCAGCATTTTGGTTGGAAATTATGTGTCATCTTCTCTTTCATTATTTCCTTCTCGCCATCCTGATCCTGATTCAAGTATTGAACTTTATTGTTATTGTATATATATATAACACAATCATGATGGGAACATATCAAGCAAAATAAAATATTGTGAGTAGAATAAGTGGCATACGTCAAGAAAGTAGTAAGTATACATAACTCTTCGACTGTTTACATCCTCTCTTAATTTTGGCCAATAAGAGTTGTGAACTAGGAATACACAATAGTATTCGTCATGTGACCACAGAAACATAATGATCATCACTCAAAAAAATTACTGATTGCTTATAGACAGGGTTCTATATTATTTTTCTATTGATACTCGAAGAAGTTGATTGCTAATGTTTTCTGGACTTGCCTGTACATCAGGTCTTCGATGAATCCTCTTGAGACAGAGGAAACGAGTATTTCAAAATAGATATTTTAAATATATAATTGTACAATTCCAATATGCAAAGATTAAATTTTTTCAAGTACTTCTCAAATTGACAAAATTTCACAACGATGATTCGTTGGAACCCATGGATGTTCAACTAGACAAACAAAATATGATTGTGAGTTTCGAAAACTTGAATGCTTATTACATCAATCTGAGACATGTATTCTACAAACTTACTTCCAAAAAATAGATGAAATACCTAATTCAACCATTTTTTCATACCCATTGGTCACGACATGAAACTTTCGCAAGTGAGTCATGCACATTGTCATGATCATCTTCAAATATTTCGCCATAATACAAATAAGTATTCATTCATACAACGCACTAGGCCTGACAGTGCATATCAAAACAACTATCTGCAGACACCTCATGCATTGAGTGAGCTTTAGATCACCTCGAAAGCTCAACGGCGTCAGTGAATTCACCATTAAAGATCAAAGAACAGTCCCAAATAAAAATTCGCGGTGAAAACGAGACCTTTGCACGAGTGCAGGAAACCATATAATAGGTCGTGAAAGATTTCCAGCAGCGTACACATCTTCAAAATATCTGGGGACGTCCATGGCGCAGGTAGATACACAAAACAAGCAATGGACGTCATATCAAAAGCTTTACATGTGATGCTTCGATCTTGGTTCACAAGGTACACAATGCATTATGGCAATATTCTGTTCTTCACAAGGCATACACATTTATCACATGGCTATCAAGCCTCAACTTTCCCACCGTGAGAGGAAGACCTGTGTACTGCTCTTGTATTTCAACTGTAAACAAATCCTCCAAAAGTGTCGGATGTTCGCTTCCTTTCCTGCGCATCCTCGTAGCTGAGGATATGAAGGGAAGTGAGCGAGCATTCGACACTCGGTAAAAGTGAGGAGATGTTTCAGATGTAGAGACAAGGGAGGTGCGTAATTGCTTTCTTTATTCGCCAAGAACAACAACTGTCCATATTCGAAGCATGCCTGCGACAGTGAACAGTCTTTTAGCGATCTTGAACCTGACAACAGAAAACGAACTCTGACAACCCGCAATAATCCTGGATATAAAAACAGGTCACAATTTGTTTGCAATTTCCACATTCTATGGCATGTCAAAATCGGTATCTCCGAGAAACTCACTTCCTTCTCTTCTTCGTAAGGTTGTTTCACACTTGCCACAGCTGGGCTCACTTGTCGTCAGCAGATGTCAAAGGTAAGTCATCATATACCAACAACATTTTTTTTCCTGGCCATCATCAATACTCAATTTGTGTATGGTACCGGAGACCTCCAGGTCTTCGATCAAAGACGTGTGGTAACTTGTTGCAGCTGTCGAGATCGAAAGTAAGGATGTCGCAAAGCAGCACTGGACTCAACGTCTACCGTGCGAGATTTTCGCTTAGGCATTTCATCCTCGTCTTCATCCGCTTCCCTGCATCCATCGGAATTCCATAAGGATCCCCTACGTCTTCAGTCCAAGAAGTCGTACTGGTTAGAGTACTATATAACACAAACGTTCCAGTCATTACAGTGAGTCACATGAGAAACTACATCGGCCAGAGGTTTCTTTCTTACCAGTAAACTTCAACACCACCTTCAGCAATAATAGGGATGCATGTAGACCAACTAAACCGCACAATTGATGGAAATCCAAACACTGGATCCTTGTTCTCTTGAAGCCAAGTCTTGGTATCTGGGTCTGGTTAGGAAAAAGAAAGTCGTTGGTATATGATGATTGTTCATTACTTTCAATTCCCCAGTTACAGATTGAAAAATGAATATTATCCTAATCATCGATCTTGCAAATAACGAGGCGTGGAGAAAAGAAAACAGTTTGGAATAACCTACTAGCGGTAAAGCCCAATTTTGGAAAATATACCTCCTGGATACCCTGATCCAAACTTTCTTCCTGTGTCTGTTCCCACCTCAGTCATCGCCCAGTTTTTCAAGGCTCTATCTCTGGTGACCTGTACATAATCGAGTACAAGCTGTCACTTGTATAATCCAGAAATCAACCAAACATATGCAGCTTGTTGTACCACAGATTGAAAAGTACATCCACCACGCTTTTCAGAAGTAACGTGAGAGACAAATATAAAGAACACACGGAAAGAATATTCTGAACTGAGAGAACATGATCTACAGACCAAATTCAGCAAGCAAAACAACAACGGTGAGAAACTACCTTTGCAACAATACTGGCAGCACTAACAATTGGAAAAAGGCTATCAGCCTTTTTCGTTACGGTGAAGGCGATACCCGGAAACTTCTGAGTTAATCGAGCCTGATACTTCTCAGAATCCCCGACAGTGTCGACGTACACCTGAAATAAAAAACCTCATACGCCATTGAAGATAAAAATTTCCTTGGGAAGCCGAAATTACCAGTTCATTACCTCGGAGAATGCACAACCGTAAAAACTTAACAAGAGCCTATTTGCTAGTCGCGTTACCATGCATATATTCTTCAAAAAAAAGCGACTGGTATAAAAAGCACAACATATCTGGCTGATAAAAGGTCGCTGGAGGTTCGCACAATAAAAAAAGCTTGCAAGCACACAAGTGTGTGATGGGTAGAGGGGTCAGCTCAAGGTGATAAAACATACTGGTAAATACAAGTCCAATAACCAGCCGAATAAAACCAATAACCAGCCGAATCAGAGGACTGCTGAGTACTTACAAAGGAAGATTTAAGGGCCAGGACTAATGACATGTAGTTGCAAGAAATTTCTAGAATGCCATGTATTACCTCAGATAGTGAGTATCCCTCATTCAAAGTGCGTGTAATGAGTCCCATTGCTGATTCATATGAAATGACGTTCAGACTCTGCCGGTTCCTGACCAATTCACATCCATCCTTATGTAAGCTTTAGACCAAATGTTATGTTCATTATTATACAACAGAACTTCGTGCACTACAAAACTGTGTTGTATCCTGCTTCGGTCGATGACTCACAACTATGATAATAAAAACGTTCTATCTCTACCCTGATCTTTGTTTGAAATGTAAAGCCTCAACCTCGGAATTCGAAGTATGATGTAAGACAACAAAGCCTTCGTCGTATCAAAATTTCAGAATTTTGCAAACATAAATGTTTGCAAAATTCGCAAAAATTTGCAAACAAAAAGCATGCTACAAGGACAATGTCATATGTACCTTTTTAGCATTTTTGCAGAGAGCTCTCTGGGATCTATTACATCTACAAACCAGCCAATCGTGTCATCGGCTTGGATGCTCTCAAATAGATCTTCCCTCTTCTGCTCCGTCAAGGTTTTAGAATCTGTAACATCGATCACGACGTCCAATGCACAAAAGATGAGAAACACCACTGACTCGTAAGCGCATTGTAAAAAGACATGCTCAAGAATATCGAACACCTTCAAGAGTGATCAGCCAGACCGTCTGACCTGCGAACTGAAGGGAGGCGATACGTTTTTTCTCAGACATAGCACAGAAAGCGCAGCCATAGACCATAGGACCTGCAGGTCGACCGAGACACAAGAGATCAGACTTCAAAATCGAAAAACAACAAGAGAGCTCAAAATAAGGTCGAGGATTATCCAACAGGCACTCAAAATTTCAAAACACACAAAACACATTGGCATTGACCTCGCCTCTCACATTGACGAATGAACCCGGCAGACTGTAAGGAAAGGACCTACCCAGAACAGGACCTCGACCAGCTTCGTCGATGCCCATGATACACGGTTCGGACGCCCATGTTGGCAATGAGGCTGTCGAATCCCCGGACTCCACCATCGGACCTCGAGAGGATTTCAATGTCTTCGACCTCTCCCCTGCTCAGAATTTGAAACCTCGATTTGAACATTTTCTTTCTCTGCCTCTTTCTCGAATTCGAGCAGTATGGCTCGACCGCGGTCCCGCGCTGTCTTGCCTCCGCGAACCAACCATGTCATCGTTAGATCCAACCACGTACGGATTAATCACCACGTACGGCCGTGTCATGTACCAAATCATGTTCATTTCAAGAACTGAACCATCAATTGGTTCATCATTTTCGCGGGTTCTTTTCCGTGTGCTTTGATGCACATTTCAGGAATACATTCCAAGTATATAAATCTTCTTTTCCTGGAAAAAATTTTGTTGAAGTTCACCATCCTGAAATGTAAATTGAATTTTAAGCAGTCAATTTTCTCTCTTCATTTCCAAGCATTATACATGAAAAATAAACTTATCCATTTAAACCCCATTTGATCAGCAGTTTTTTTCCGAGACCCGAGTATATTTAATAACGAACTGTTCAAAAACTTGTGGGTAGATACGTTCAAGATGAATCCGTTATAATTGGATGAATATTACTTGTTGGACCCGAGGAAACTCAAAACACTTATGGGACGGTGGCAACAACAGGTTTCATCTTACCCGAGGGAACCCATCGACGGCCTGCAACCCCACCGTCAGTGATGTTCCAGTACTATCTAATGTTATTTCGAGTAGAAAGATGAAGTCACTTTTCAGACTCATAGTGGACTCCATCATCTTCTTAGACATGGCCGGAAGGAGACGCCAAAATATTCTGGCCCGACAGTGGCGGACACTCCCCACTCTATAGAACAAATCAGTAGCTTAGAAGAACATGGCCGACGGTGGCCGTTGAATGATTCTTGTTGAAACATGAAACATTGAAACATGTTGGGTTACTTCAAGAGAGTTAAGTTTCCAAGGGTCCATCAAGTTATAATTGTCATGATTAAGTATTCAATGGATGAGACATCTTTCCGATCAATATATGAATATGTAAAATTTTATATTTTTAGTGGGTGTCAAGTAAATTAATGAAAATAAACAATGAAGGGTTTGCATTCACTTGGCTTGAAGTAAAGCTACCATTTCATTTCTCCTATGTGCTTTTTGTACAAAGTCATCATGATGAATGTGTAATCTACTCAAAATATTTTGTGGATAGCAATTTACATCAAATATTTAAAGTTTATATCTCTATTTTAATTATGTTCTAGATTTAAATCTTATTATGTACAACTTTCCAACTAATGCATCCATCATTAACTGTAAATATATTTTAAATAATGAATTTATTCTTTTAGTTAACCTAACAAGTATTTATTACTGTCAAAGAAGACATCAAACAATATATTATAATCTTTGATACTCTTATGTTGAAAGAAATTTCACTTCACATCTTCTCAATGCACATTTATTGTTTTTTATATATATTTGTTCCTTTAGCCCATATTTAAGAACAATTAATGTCATGTCTCGTCCATACCATCGTGTACATAAGATTGCATCAACTTTTCATACAAATATGATGACTTCTTTACCTTTTAGTTATCAACAATTTGATATTGAGTTGCAAAAAATCATAATAGTGATCCCAGAGAAATCCTTACTACTTTAGTCTATCATGTTAAAATTATCATACACATTTGAATTTATTTATCTTGACTTACTTATATACATCTCCATGAACATACATCCATAATATACTCTGATCATATTCAAATTTTTTCACCTTAAATGTAGACTTGAATTGATTCTTATAGCTATTAATGTCAAATGGGTTTTCTTAAAAAATTGAGAATTTCATCCATGTAGATTATTAGAAGAATGAGACTAACAATCTCATTATTCATCTTTATCGAGTATAGAACTGGACCATAATCATTGCTTTGTGCTCTTAGATACTACTGAAACCTAATAGTCCAATGTATATTAATTTGTTACAACCATATAATATCTTCAATAATTTATGAAGAATTTTTTTTGTCAAAATCAATTTATTATACAAATATACTTATTCAAAAAATATTGATAAAATGTTGATATTTAATATAATTATTATAAAATGTAATTATATACATCTGGGCAATTATAAAATTAAAGTATCGCAACAAAAGTATATACCAATCAAATTTTAATGCATTTAGCTACAATTGAGATAATTTTTTTGTGATATATAATGGTTTAAAAAAATTTTCTAATCATCAATTAGACTTTGAAAATTACATATTGTTATCCATGGATTTAGTTCAACTTGTATAATTATGTTGTTTTAACTTGTTGCTATCAAACTAAAGTTCCATTACTTTATATTATGTTATCATTCAACACACAATTCCATCTTATGTGCTAAAGTAATATTTCATTTCAATATTATAATATTAAATTAAATTATTATATGTTTTAAACCTGATATGAATTCTACTAAATCAATTTGATGATATTTTATTAGAATAATTTTGATTATTTTATAGTTTGCTTTAGTTCTCTGAATCTCATCAATACATTAATTAATGTGTTTCAAAAGTTAACTCCATCTTTTATTTAACATCGTTTTATCTATAATGATCAATCTATCTGTGATCAAAAATATTTTTTCTATTCTGATAATCTGAGTTAATTTAAACAGAATATCACTCTTGACAATAAACTTATAGTATTTCAATAACTTGGCACACTTATCGACCGCATTTTTAACATGATCATGTTATAAATTCATTATTTTGTATTAAACAATTAAAAAACTTCGAAGTAGTATAATTATATCAATACAGAATTTGTATGATAAATTACATTACTCATCTACTCTAATATAATCAGTAAAAATTATTTAGATCTCCATTTTGTTTCAATGTACGAAACGTGCTGAAATGATCCGTGAGAAAACTAATCTTCAAGAATTTAACCCTCTCCATTCTTTTCCATATGAAAATATTGTAGATACTCGAACTTGTTCTCGCCATTTTTCACACTTAGATATCTCGTCTCAAGTCTTTTATGAGTTTCAACTTGGAATATCCAATTTTTACAAATTATTAACAACTCAAATTTTGGTGTGAAAAAATACATTCAAACAAATTTTGAAATATCATAGTTTAACTTTCCATGAACTGAGATTTTCGAAGATCTTCAAAAATCTCAGTTCTTATTATTACGCTATTACCTAGCACCATAGGTCCAAACCTTAGCATGGTAATAAGAAGGATAACACGACCAATTAAAAGCGCATAACCTGGAAAACGAGAACCAAGCGAGCCAGAATATAATCAAATTGAGTTAAAAAAGTCAGCCGCGAGTGAGCTCAGCCCATGCAAGCAACCTTCTCTCACAATCCGGCGATACAACCCCAGGGTTAGACATGGCAAATTTGGCAGAGCATATAATGGCAGAATAATTACCAAACATGGCTTTCAACCGAGTTCATATGTAGCATGGCACGGACGAAAGAAACATTACGAGACTGATGGCAAAGAAAGCAACGGCATAACACGGTTCTAGGTACACGGGTAGAAACCATGACCAGCATGCGAGAAAAGCAATCGGGACAGAGGCAGAAAAATGATCATGAAAACAGAAGCAGACGTATGCAGTAGACAAGCTAATAAACTATAGTGCCAACGACACTGAGGAAACAATTATCCAGTCTAGTTACAATGTTGGGAACATGAATAAAATCTACGCGACATGCTCACAACATCGTCATATTTTTCCCGGCTCCTTCGTCGGTGGAAACCTGAGTAAAGACATTTCTGCTCTGGAATGCAAGGGGTGAGATAAATAAGACTGATCAACTTCAGAGCGATGTGAGATTCTACGTGAGATGCGATCCGGGGCAGTGCTCATCACGCACAGCTGAATTGCAATCATCGTAGTTGTCATGGACCACCACAACATCAAAAGCCATATATGATATGGACCTTTAGCAGATTTCCAGTTCATATCAACCTGCTATTTGAATTACACAGTACTGCTCACCGCGTTCACGAAATCCAGACCTGCCAATAAATAGTTCTCTCGATGAATATAGAGTAGACTCACGACATGGCAACGAGTTTCAACTTACATATACACAGATCCAAGTGGATGCGTTGCACCCAAGGAAAGTGGGAAGAATAAATCTAAAATTCACTCTACTTCAAGTAGAGTTTCTAAGAGAGCCAAGAGAAAACAAGATCAAGAATGTGCAGTGGAACCAAGTTGGGTAGTCAGGCAGCAGATTCAACAATCTGAGAAGAATGTGTATTGTACAAGATGATAGGCCTGAATGTGGAGTATGAGACCTGAGAATGAAGGATAAAGTGAGACCAGTAGAGTACTCATCAGTTCTGGACCATACTGACTTGCAAGATCCTGCAGGGGCGCCTTCTTATAAAAAAGTAGAGTGCATGTACTTTCGAGACATAATTAGGTCTGCAGACAACAAATAGAAGCAATGTCCTTATTTGGTCCTCTCTAGCGTCTTTGTACCACATATATAATACACTACAAAGGGCCGGCTATATTGCTCAAACAGTGGTACATATGTTCTTCACTTTGAACAAGGTACTCACTTTCAATCCCCTCCTTTCGATCTCCTCTCCTCGTGTCGATGCTTGCGACTTACCATTTCATGCGAATCGGAGCTGTCATAATCGCGCTCAGCATCCATTGCTGGTTTCCTGCCTCTATATTCTTCTCTGGTCTTCCTTTTAGGACTTCCATCACTATCCCCGTCTACCGCAGCTCTTCTACCCTGTGACTTCCTGGTATGTCTGCCATTGCTCTCAGAAACAGTTCTGGGAGACGAATCCCGCTTTTTCCTCCTCTCTTCTCGGCCTTTCCTATGAGAATTTTTTCTCGGTAACTCTAAACTGCTATCGCTAGAATCATCTTCGTTCGAGTACCTGCTTTTCCTCCTCCTCTTCTCGTCACGATGCCTTCTCCGACCCCTCTCTGGAGATCGGTCTCGTCTCCTCTTCTTTTCCTTTTCATGACGTTTACGTCTTGACCTAGTGTCTGAATCAGAGCTGCAGTCACTGCTCTCCTCTGATGAGGCTTTCTTCTTGCTCGACCTTCGATGTTTCGACACGGATTTCGAACTTCTTTTCGATTTCCCCGTCTTCGTACTACCTTTCTCGCGGGCACGAGTGCTCCCGCCCTTACCTTTCCAGCCAAACTTCTCTGCAATGGCTCTCTCCATCTCTGGATCTTCGTCACTGTCAGATGAATCATCATCCGAATCGTCGCTCCCAAAATCTGACTCACTGATTCCTTCCTTCCCTTTCGCTCCTCTTTCTTTGTCAAGCACGGCAGCAGCTGCTGCCGCAGCCTCTTCTTTCGCAGTTAAGAAGTTACGACACTGAAATGTCAGATGACCCACTCTTCCACACTTCTTACATGCACCCCGTACCTCATCAGCGCTCGAAGCAGTCAACCGAGCCAAGGCCAACAGACCTTGAAAGCTGTCATACGCATTTTGCTGCTCCTCTGTGATTCCCCCTCCTCCGGTCGATGCAGCCGGTGCTCCACCGCGGTCATCAGGCTGAGACTTTTGATCTGGAGCGTAAGGATCATACCCAATTGCACTCTGCCATATTCCGTGAGTTTGCAAGGCCGCACTACTATGAACACGGTTATTTGCGGGCATACGCACACGCCCCGCAGTGGCCGGCATCGTGACCTACTTCTTCAGAGAAAAAATTTACCCCAAAAGAAATTCCCGTGAACACGATAGGATCGACCCGCTCGTCACCCCTACAGCACAGACACTAGCACCGATTCAGCCTCACTAAAAACAAGTCGGTGAAAACTCTACTTCCTCAGTGAGAACGATAACATCGAGCCCCTCGTCGGCCACCCGGGACCAAGACTGAGACCACCACACATCACTATCGTAAAAAACCTCCTTGTCCACACTTCGACCTCCTCCTCCATCGTTCTTCTAAACTTCAATCACGTGTTCGTGCAGTGAACAATCAAATTCTCTAGTACCCTGAATATCCCTAGGGTTCGCGCTTGGTGCACCGCATGTCGAGAAGCCAGCGTGAAAACAGCAAGTCCAGAAATTCCAGAAATTCTTTTCACGGATCACGCTTCAATTGTACGACGTCTTTACAGACGATTAATTCACAGAATGCGATTGTCCGTCCTCACGCATCGACTCGCAGATAGCTCGAGGCAGAAGCCACTTTGAATGTTGCCTCCCTCCCTCGGTCGCTCCTTCTTCCAGATCATATGCTTTTGTGTACTTTACGCTCCCGTAGTAACGTTCGTCGGACCGGTCCACGTATGAGTCGGTGCAGTATACAGAGCGAGGGTTTACAGACGACGTATCGAAGGAGGGTTTATGGAGTTGATACGTGCGGTTCGATCGCCACCATTTGTATTGTCGGCTGGAGCAGTTACTCTCGAAGATCTTGAAAATGTTCGAAGAATGCTGCTGTCGACTACTATGCCCGTGGCCACATTTGGATTACATTTTTGCATTCGTTCGTTCTCTTATGCCTCTAGGGATTGAAGTCACTTTAAACACGAGACCGCGCTGTTAGCCACATTTAATGGATTCTTGTTTATTTGTGCACTGTGGGCTTTTTTTTTATTGATAGACCTTAAAATAAAAAATAAATCTTTTGAGACCTATGTTCTTCTACCTTTTTTTTTGTTTTGAAACAAGTATGACATCCACATATCAAGAAATGGTCCAATCAAATAAAGTTGAAGATTACTGGACATATGGACATACATATTATTTAAATCACTTGAAGACATGTGTGAAGCAAGGTTTCTTAGTAAGCAATTCAAATATAAATTAAGACAAAATCTAATAAATATTTTACATTGATGTAGATTTTAAATTATACTAGTAAAAGAAAAGTTATAATTCATTGACAATTTATTCACAATTTGCTAAAACGTGAATGATACTAAACATAAGTATTGTTCATATATTTGCATGAAGCTTGATCTTGGAATTAAAATGCATGAAATCAATAAGTCCAGTTGTGCATCAACAACAAAATGTGCATATTAGCATCTCGTTTAGCAATACAAATAGAAGCCACAAGTTTTCAAAGGGAAGAAAATGATGCTAATTAATCTGCATTTGTAAATTAAGCATATGACTAAAATGCAAAATCTCAAGTAAATGAGATACACATTGAAATAAGAGTATTCACTAATCGATCTCACTATTCAAAGAAGTTGAAAACACTATGGCAAGAGTGATATATTGCTTAATTGCTTACAGAAGTTCATAGTGTTTGCATTGGACAATCTATTCCAATGAACAATCAGTCAATTATATGTTGAATAAGTCATTTATGAATTTAAACATCAAAAAATCATTCTCGATTGAATTCGTCTTGAAAAAACACAAAATTAAACCGCCAACAAAGTAAACCAATAGATTAATACAACATAACATCTAAAGTAATGCACATGCATTATCAAACAGACATTTATGTCTGTAATAATCTATGGATTATTAGCACAATGTATCATTATTATGACGTAGAATTGGAATAAGATCAATTACGCTCGAGTTGAGTTTTTGGTTGAATGATAATGTCACAACTTTTGAGCTTTGATAATTTCAAAAGTATACATTGATATAGAGTGGAGATTGTTGTTGAAGCACTTGTTCATCTTACAATACATAAATTTGTAATCTTGCACAAAATGCAATGTTTTAAAAAAATATACAACTCATTTTGTTTGATGAGACAATATATTTCAATACCACATTTCATGTACGATCATTGAGTTTCAAATTTGACTATTATAGTGGAATGTTCAACAGATGGAGCATACATCACATACGAATGAATACTCTCGGGAACATTGTTGCAGCCATGTAACACCACCAACATAATCAATCATGTTTTGATCTCCGTTGTATGATGAACGAACAAATTTTTCCAATTAGACAAATTTACTGAAAATAATTTGCATACTATTTATAATTATGCCAAACCAATATGAGCTTCCTAAGATGATATTGAAATGAGATGTAAATTATAGAGCTGGTTGCGTCAAACAAAACAAACATGAACATCAATGTATGAGATAGTCATATACTTAGATACATCTAAAGCAATTGAAAATTTTCACATCATGCGGAGTATGTTAGCAATGATATGAATTTTGTATTGCATTTGACATGTGCAAATGTAACCATCTTCAAATCATTCATTTCATCAAGCATAATAATCAATGTCATTTCCATGATCGTTTAGAGCGTAAACGTAGTCTGTCTTACACTGTACCAATATCAAAGTACTTTATTGCGAGATATTATGCCATCAAATCTTGATTGTCACAAAATAATGATATTGTTATAATCAAGCATGAACACATTGATGGCGTTGTCATATGTTTTGATTCCAACATCTTTGAAAATCTAAAACAATTCTCCAATTATGACCTCAACTACGCTCTTATTGATAGATTAGATCACAAATTATGTATTTTGGTCAAGATGTAACAAAACTGTGTTCACAAGGTCACATTGACATTAAAATAAACTTATTTATGTTCTCAAAAGTGTCTTTAACTATTATAACAAAATTGATGTTTGTTTTTGGGATGAATGTGATAGTTTTTGAGTCAAAATGTAGGTTCATGCGTTTTGTTTATTGTAATTTTTGGCATCTTGCATCAACTTTGCAATTGTTCATAGAGCAAATATGATAGTGTTCAATGTAACAAATCATGAAAAAAGATTTTATACATATGCGATTAGATTTTATTGCAATAATAATATCTTTAAATTAATATGTTGAACTCTAACTACATTAATTCACATTTCAACTTTATGAACTTAAACCATATATTTAAAGTAAATATCGTCAACAAAATTTCAAAATGTTTGTTACATGTAGTTTTAATAATATAAAACATATGAATTTCAAATCTTTTATAATTTAATCAATCTTGAAAATCATTATTTATATGATATAAGCTATTTTTATCAACTTTTATATGTATGAATTGTTTAACAAAATTCAAAATTGTCAAACAAATTTATTTTGTTTTATTTCAAATGACATTTTAAGTTGTATTTTGTACCTAAATGTATTTTCATCATGCAATTTGTCATCTATAACATTTTTGTTATCAATGAAATTTGATTCGGAACATTGCATTTGTTGTCATATTTCTTATTGTGATAGAATTAAAATATATTGCAATGGATGAAATATATATAAATGTTTTTTATAGAAACCAAATAGTTCACGTCATCAACAAGCAGATTAGAAATATTTCAAAATTTTGTTTGCTTTATAGATAAAAATAATAAAGTGATAACAAAAAAAATTCTTATAGAAATAATACAAAAATTTTGATTCTTAAATTTATTCAAAATTATGAGCAAAAAGTAATTTAAAAAAATTCAAATTGTTGAATTTAAAGTGGAAGAATGAAATTTATAATGTATATTACATATCATTTGAAATTAAATCTGAATATATAAAAAAATGAAACAGAGTAGAATAAATTTGTAAAGGTTGATTATTATATTTTTAAACATAATCAATTCTTTATTTTTTAAGTAACATATCAATATAAAAAAAATTAAAATAGTGATTTTGATAAATTTTTTGATCAAAACACTTATTTAATATAAACTTACTCTATTTTAATAAACTTAATAATGTACTATTAATAAAAAAACCTGTTCTTCTTTGTTACTTTGGTAAATCTTGAGCTCTTGGCCGTGATTGTATGTAATAATTTTATTAAGCATCTTACAACTTTTTAATTTGTTATTATAAATGAATCAAAAGAATTGAAATTGATATATTTTGTATATCTTAGATGAATTTTACAAATGTGGATCTACTTTTCAATTAAGATTTATAAATTTTTAAACTATAATAATAAGTTTCAAAATAAGAAATAATCAAATAGATGCTAAAATTACATTTGTGCTTTCAATAATATTTTTAAGACTTGCAACAATGACAAAGATGAAATACGTACTATTTCTTTGTGAATTTTAATTTTGAAAATTTAGATTTTTTTTCATAAGGTTTTTATTACTAATATCATTTCATTAAAAACATCACAAGTTTTTTTTTTGGAAGAATTTTCAACCAAAAAAATGCAAAATTTTCAATCATCAAGATTAATATGAGTTCTAATTATCATTGAGAATGAATGAAGAGAAAAATAATTAGACATTAAATTTATTGTATAATTTAATTTAAAATCACAAAATTATGATCAATTAAAATATTTTAAAGTTAATCAACTTTAAAAGCATGATAGATAATTATATTATTTTATGATGCTAATGTTACATCATTTCCATTTTACTTTAGTGTTGAAGATACAAAGTTGTTTCGAATATCATGTATATTTCAAAAAGTTTTATTTATTTATATATTATACAAAGTAATTTTTTTGATACAGATTGATGATTATTGTCAATTAAATAATATACCCCATGAAACTTAAATGATTGATGATTTTGTGCATTTATTGGAAAATAAAAATTATTTTAATAGTTTTATTTCGATTTTATTTTTATCATATGACAATATATACAAAATATATAGGATAGATTAAAAATCATCATCATGGAATATATGCTTTTTTAAATAAGAGAAAAAATGTATTATCTTAAAAAGAAGACGGTTTGAATAATGATGTAAGATTTTAGATTTCATAGTGAAATATATTATTCTAAAATTCAAAAATATATGATTTTTTCTTAAAAAATCATTTTCATTTAAAAATATATTGTTTTCTTCATATATATGTATATATATATATATATATACATATGTTGAAATATTGCATTTTAAAATTTTCATTGATAATGATTTTTTTAATGTAATTTTATTTATGAATTTACATTGTATTATAAAAATTAGTTTTGTTTTCATACATGCAAGGAGATAATTACTTGATGGGACCCATAGGTTTCATTTTACCCAATGGCTCACTCTCGAGGGCACACCGTAAGTGATGTTCCAATACTACAAATTACACCATCGTGTATCCGCTGTTGGTCGGTGAGTACGAGCGAGAAGTAGTGCTCCTGGTTACGAGATTGGCGCTATTATTAATTCTGCCCAACGGCTCAGAGAGTGAAGACATGGAGGAGGTTATGAATATTCTCACGGAGGTATTACAAATGGAAGTATAAATCGTTGAGCATCGGAACACGCTCCTCACCCAACTGTCTCATACTCTAGGCAGCTGATGTAACCATCTTTAGTTAGTTAGAACTAAAGTAGAGGTTACTCTAAATATTGATGTATATACTTTAGTGTGCACTAGTCATAGCTGCCACGTCAGCGATCCGCGCACTTGGTAGGTACAGAGTGGATGTGTTAGTTGACAGTGCCACGTCAGCAATCCGTGTGCTTGTAGGTAAGGATTGAGTGTGTTAGTTAGTGTGTTAATTGGGTGCGCCACGTCAGCGATCCGTGTGCTTGTTAGGGTTATCCGCCACGTCATCCATCCACTAGGAGTGGGATGGATGGTGGAGATTAGATCTTATCACCTTGTACTTGTTGGTGAGAGCTATATAAGGGAGAGTATAACCATTGTTCGTATCTCTCATCTTCAGAGTTTACGTTTTTATCTTCGAGTGAGCTTTTCTCTAAACCCTAGTGTTATAGCTGAATCCTGGATTTACTCCATAGACTTGCACACCTACTCCTGACTCTTACCTATCGTATGAAATTTACAATCATTCATCTTGGAACACGAATCCCAGATAGATCGATCTTGAGAGAGAACGGATGTCAATCGATCTGTTGAGACTGAGATTCCATACGTGATTCGCTTAAATTAAAATCTTAGCTCTCTTGGTCAAGCATAAAGTTTGCTCTAAGTTATAGCCAGGTGGGAAATTCTATGTGTTTTTTCATATGCAAACGCTATCGAAAGTACTTACATCATGGTCGAATGAGTACCCAAATTAATCTCAACAGCAAAAATATTTTGGCCGATAGTGACAAACATTATTCACACTGCAACACAATTTTCAGTTTATAAGAACTTTGATTAGAACATGTCCTACGGTGACCTATATGGCCGTTGAGTGGGGTTTCATTGGATAAATTGAAAGTTAAAAGATACCATTCAGTAATTTGAGTTGCTGTGTGGTACCATCAAGCAATTATCTCAATAATCTCTACATACAAGATATCTCTTATTAATCTGTTACTTAGAATAAACATCGCGTAAAACACCTTCGACATTGTTAGAAAAGTTAAATTCAACACAATTCTTTAAAATTTCTACAAATTGAAATTTCATATATATATATATATATTTAAAAAGAAAAGAATTTTAGAATTGTGCAAAACATTTAATTGGAAATTTTTAATTTCTATTATTGGATAAATTTTGTTTTATTTCAATAAAAATTTAATGTTTAAATTCGGAGTATTTGTAATCAATTTATGAGAAAATAGATGAATTTAAACAAATTATGTCTTAGACATGTAAGCTTGGAATCTTTAATTGATGAAGTTCTTATAAGAGTACATTTTCTCTTCCTACTCAACCAGTTTGATATTTATAGTCTGAAATATTATCATCATATCAACATAAGTAAAAGAAATTTGTGTTGCTATCTTCTTTAGATAATGTGACAGTACAAACATAATGATTTACGGAGATATCTAAAGATGATTTGCTTTATCATTTTCAAATTATGATCATGTTACAAACCATCATTTGTAGGAAATTTTAAACAGCAGTTTTTTGACACCATATTCATTTGACAAAGAGTATGTGATCGCTTGAGAACAATCACAACATTGCAATTTCTTTTGCTAAATCCAATTTATAGCTTTGTAACATTTATCCATTCATCTTTCAAGCATTTTCAAATTTACTTTATTAAAAATACTCCTTACTATAGAAGCATGTTACAATCTAAACGTAAAACTCAACAAAAAGCTTCGAGTGAGTGACACAATATTTTTTTGGTGAGAGAAATGAAAATTTGGCTTCACAAGCGGAATGTCTATATGAGTGTTCAGAGATATTTGAAGCATCAGGTTTAACCATCAAACAAGTTTCAAACTGTTGTTCTTGGAGATTTGAAGTCACGATTTTAAACTAGATCACAACCACGAGATGCCGAGTAATTGTGCTTGCATCCGTTTGAAAATTAACGAGCTTGTACAGTGCTTGATTCTCTAGCAGCTATTATGAACACAATTATGACAATGCGCTGTGGTCAGTTAAAAACTCACCCTTCAATCTCCAGTCACCACGCTCCGCTCGACGACGTGGAACACGGGAACCGGCAACAGGCTCTCCAAGTCTATTTCTCGACGAAAAGGCGGCACCAAATGGCGGAAGAGGAAGAGGAAAAGGAAGCGCAAGAAAGGGAGCGAGAGTGCAGACGGAGACTGGGTCCCCAATGGAGGGGCGAAAAGCGCGAGTGCCACCGGAAGGCGGAAGCGATTGGTGAGAGTGTTCGCGGCGTCCTATCCTCACCTTATCGCCTTTTTCCGCGCGCTCGGTTGTCGATGTCCTTGTATCGTGTGGTGATGCTCGTTCTCGTTACTCGCCACAGGTTCTCGTTGCGACCTGATCGTCAGCGGCCTCCGCAGAGCTCCTTATCGTTGCGCGCTCGAGGTCGTGACTACGGCGCGCTGCGAGGTGTGGGACTTTTTCCGGAGCTCCAGGCTGCATTGAGGAGAGGAGGAATCGCACCCCGACGGTCGGTCGATCGATCGTTGTTCTAGAGTCTGGGGATTCTTTGTCGCCTGTCGTCGTGAGCGCTCTCAGCAGCGCAGAAAGAGAGTGCTAGCAATGGAGGCTCTTCAACAGGTCGCCTCTGTCAGGTCCTGCTCCATCGGAGCTGCTGCCGTCGTCGACTGTGCGGCGAGCTCGAATTTCCAGCCCTTGGCTCGTGCTTCGTTGGGCAGGAAATCCGTCGCTTGCCAGGGTGTTTCGACCTCCGCGTCGTTGAGCTCGTTCACCTTCAATTCTCTGGCCTCGAAGGTCCCTGCCGTGGAGTCTGGAAAGAAGGGATGCCGGGGAGTGGTGACCATGCGCGCGGACACCGCCGCGGGCGGGTACGCTTCCGCCTTGGCCGAGCTTGCTCAGGGTGGCAACATTTTGGACGCCATCTACAGGGACGTGGAGATTCTCGGAGACATGTTGAAGAACAAGGAGGTTTTTGAGTTTCTGTCCAGCCCTATTGTGGTCGAAGAGAAGAAGAAGAGCATTCTGAAGACTTTCGCCGATGACGCTAAATTCCACGATTACACCCTGAATTTCCTCTACATCCTCATCGACAAGAAGAGATTTGGCCTTATCAACGACATTTGCAAGGAGTTCTCCGGTATCTACTACGAACTGACCGAGACTCAGCTCGCCACTGTTATCTCTGCCGTCAAGATCGAGAAGGCTCAGCTAGCTCTGATCGCGAAGAAGATCCAGTCCTTGAGCAATGCCAAGAACGTGAGGATAAAGAATGAAATCGATCCAACTCTGATTGCAGGTTTCAAAGTGAAGTTTGGAAAGGATGGTTCCAGATCTGTGGACTTGAGCGTAAAGGGACAGCTTGACAAAATCTCTGCGCAGTTTGAGTACGCCGAGAAGGCGGGAGCATACTAGAAATGCAACGGCAATGCCGAATTGGAAATTCTGCCAATTGCATATAGCCTGTTCTCGGAGACTAATTTAGTCTTCCGACACTGCGGAATTTCTAGAACCAGTCGACAAATTTGACAGTCTCAGGATGAAGTATTTGTATAATGACAGTTTTCTCAGCCTCACTTTTTTCTGGCGGAGTGGACATTGTGTAGTAGAAAATTCTTTGAATCTCTCAAATTGAGGTTGTATCAACAACACATAGATATTTTTGAATTGGGCTTGCGTGTTTGGCCCCGAGTATACTTCCTTCGTGTTTGTCTCAATGGAAGTCGATGACTGGCACGATGCACGGACTGCCATGACTGAAAAAGTTTGTTTAGATACCAATCTTATGCTTTGGCAAAGACAGTTGAAAAAGTAAATGCATCAGGTTGAAGTGCACACAAATTTTACGATCGCTAACATGTAGAGAAAAGTATCAAAAGAATAGTGACGAAAGTTCACAAACTAATGTGCGAAGAAAAAGAAGTTAATTGACACTTACAATCGAAGATTGATGGGTAAATAAACGTTATTGAAAAAATATAAAGTGGGTATGTTCCACAATGAAGTGAAGAAAAACAATTTAGGAACCATTTCTGAACGATTATTAATCATGTTATACTGTACGTATATATTTCAGATGGAGAGAAACAAGCAAGTATAATAATCTTCTGCACAATATCAACTGACAGTATTTGATAACAACATAATTATATTCAAATTATAATTTTTACAAAATATGATCATAATGGACAAAGTAATTTCACTGTCATTTATGTTTAATTTTCGGTTGCTAACATGTGTGATAATGTATTTTTTGTTTAAATAATATTTGATTTTACGTTATTATTTTCAAGTTTGTAAATATGATTTTTACTTTTTGGGTACATTCTATTCTGATTTCAGGAAAAGGTATTATCTTTCATTTTCATGTGTGTATCTTGGAGATTGCATGATACATTTATGATTGTATGAACCATATGTTCCTCGTTTCTTCGGCGACATCCGATTAAATTGAAACGATACAGATAAGATTAGCACAAATAGAGAAATGGTCCGTATTTTCTTCCGCGTTGGTACATTTGGTAGTGAAGTTGATGTGGCTATGACTGATTTTGCTCACAGTTTGGGATACGCAGTGCTTAAGTGTACACGTTATACAGACGATTTCTTATTTACAAAAAGCTTGCCATTATCTTTTCGCTCCTGCCCACGTTGGAATCATGTTGGAATTAAAAATGGTAGGTAAAAAAACCAACATCTGACGGAGTACAGATTTCATGATTTTTTCATTTTTTGAATTTTTTCTGGATAAGGCACATCAGGAGTGAAATAGCTGCACATCGAATTTACATTCAATAGAAGTACAAACTTGTAAAGCGCACGTCAAATTTCAGTGCCTTCAACTCTGCTGCTTTCAATCTTTCTAATTTAAGCTCGGGATTGCTAGAGACCAGTGAAACAATGACTGGCTGTCAGGCCTAGTCACATCGCCTGCACCTTTTAATCCTCGGTTGAAAGATCAGAAGTGTATTAAAGGACTATCTTCTACTTATCTCAAAAGCCCTGAAAGCGTCCGTCAGAGTTCTGGAACGTTTCATGAATGTGACAAATTGTCCTGTATGTCCATTCACAAGGTTGTCTCCGGAAATTGGGATTTGAAGAGAAAAACACCAGGAGAGACGAATCATCGTGAACTGCAATCAGATTTCTAACTAGCAGGCAACCTCTTAACTTAGTGGGCGTTCGCCTCGACGTGAGCCTCGTAGGCCTTGCTGTCGAGCAATTGGTTTACTTCTGATGGGTTTGACATCTTCACCTTGGCAAACCAGCCCTTCTCGAACGGGCTCTCGTTAATCTGCACAACAGATCATACACGGTTCAGCTTACTGAGGCCTTCTCACACTTGATGGTCCTAAAATATTTAGAGGCATTAAAACCCGAAGTCATTGACACAATTGGTGACCGAAACGAAACATGCGTCGAACATTTCGGGTATACACGAATGAGTACTGACCGCTCCAGGTTCGTTCTTCAGTGTGTCGTTGATTTCCAAGATTTCTCCAGACACTGGAGCCATTACATCACTGACTGCCTTCACACTCTCCACGCTAGCGAAGGAGTCATTAGCTGTGATGGAATCTCCAACTGCTCCTTTGATTTCGGCAAAGACAATGTCTCCAAGCTCGGACTGTCATTACAGTACTGCTGTCAGCTCCGGATACCCACAAACAAGAAAATGCAAGCAACCTCTTCTTGGCGGAAAGCGAACGAGTACATCACAGAGCAAGCCGTAGAAGCAGCTTGACAGTTCAGCCAAGGAAGGAATCGACAAAGCTGCTAGAGTCGAAACGTCCCTGTCACCACCGTCATCGAGAAGTAGCACGAGATAAATAGCGTAGCAATTACCTGAGCGTGGTCAGTAATGCCGATAACTGCCGTTTCCCCGTCAATTTTCACCCACTCGTGACTTGTGGCGTACTTCAGGGAGTCCACGACTGCGTTGATTCAAATCAAGAACACAGTCGTTATAAGTTCCAGTGTAGAGATGAGCATGACGAGAGCTGGTAAACGTATGTGGGCACGTGAAACTAGAATAGAGATTGAACCAGTCCGATTGTCAGTCAAATCGGAAATAAATCAAGTGACGATTCGTTTCCACAGGCCATCGACCGGCCACGACAACATCGTGCAGCTAGATCCAAGTCGGGTGGAACAGATCATATGGGATTGTCACTGAGAGAAACAACACGTAATCTCAAAGAGCAAAGACATGCACATCAAAGTGAGGTCATGAATCGCTGGTTCGAGGTTCCACAAGGACAATGCACTTCAATCTTGTGAACGGGCTTCAAATTCGGCCATGCCGATGATTTTTTCGTGAGCAGAAGACGCAGTGACTATCACAAATTGCGGTGATTGGAAAGACCGAATGCGGGACGTTCCAGATTGCAAGGCATTGTGGGATTCATCCCTCCGCCACGGCAAAGATTCAAATTCGGACGTGGGAGAGGCGGCGAGGCAGACGACGACGACAACGCAATCCGAGAAGAGTGAAAGCTCGAGAAAGATTACCCGTGGAGAATGCACGGGCCACAGAGACGGGGAAGCCTGCATGGATGGAGGCCGGTGCGCAGCGTACCCTAAGGGCGGTGGCTGCCTGAGCTGCGAATTGCCTCATCGCCATTTCTCCGCACCGACAGCACAAATCGCCGAGTCTTGCAACGCTGCTGGGAAGGTCGGGATGGCGAGTGCGAGTGCGAGGGCGAGGGTGAGGGCGACCTAGCTCGGACGACGAGAGCACAGACACAAGGCTTCAAAAATGTGCGAGACGGCGTCTGGGCCACTCGACTCTACTCCTCCACCTTGTCAGGGGCGCCGAGAGGGAGGGACGAAAGCTGCAGGCAGCAAGAGATCGTGGATCATTGTCTTCTGGCGGGCGGGCGATCCATCGATCGATCATTACCCGTCCGTTTGTGGTGACAGGAGGAGGCGGACCAGACCTCATGGTTCCCGATCCACACCAGGTTCATGAAGCAGGTGTCAAACACTCCCCACCGTCCCTCCCGAGGCTCGTCTTATCGCGAACTCCCCTCCCCTAACCGGACCTGGTTCTTGCTTTGGTGCGTGTCAGCATTTGTATTTTTGGCGACGGATCATGAACCGAAACTGACCGCTTGCTCTGCCACCGTCCGATCTCTCTGTCCCCTGTCACCGTTCGATCGACGCTTCTCCCGTCCTTGTCTGCCTCCTTCTCCCGTCCTCTTGCGGACCACGTTCGACTGCGCAGTCTCCGGACTCCTCTGCTGTCGCTCCACGCAGTTCAGCGACTGCAGTCCAATATCCTATCGCCCTCCAAATACTGTCATTCGTCAGAGGACCCGATCTAGAGTTATTCAGTATAAGTCTAGATAATGTGAGACTTTACTGATAAGCTTGTAGCTACATTCGGCCAGTGTGGTTATATGCTTTCAGAGCTGAGCTAACGTGGTGATCCACACATGGAGACTAGACTGCGTAAGTACCTACTCGACCGGATCTAGTGTACTTGACATAGCCCCAATATTGAGAAATATTTTCTGGATATACTTAATATGTATTGTGACATTCTCCGCGAGCTGTGAGGTGTGTAACTCCGAACGCATCCATTGGTGCATTACTTGAATCACTCTGAATCACTCAGATAACATTACTTAAAATATTTCTAGCTATCACCGGTTTGACCCATTCTTTTTGGTGCGTATGGATGTTCTATCATACGCCTACATAACCACTTGGTTGATTTCCATGAACAATCAGCGGCAGAAACAAGCTGACTACAGTCTCTTTTGGTGGATCTATACTACAAGTTCAATGAAATCTTGGAAACCAGAGTAATTACATGTGTGAGAGGTATCACATCACTGCCACAATAATATATAACATGTAATCGTCAGAAAGTAATAAAAATTTATCTTAAGTAAAGTTACTTCAAATACATATCAAATGGACAAGTTATTGTGTTTAAACAATTTGTGTGTTGGGAAAAAAAACAACAAGCAAACAAGGGATAAGTGGTCAACGGCAGCCAAGTGGATTTACAAAATCAAAAGTGCTAACATGCAACTTATCATCACCACCTTTATTGGCATATGAGAAAATTTGATTCTTGATTTGGTATTTGACAAGTATAGCGATCACGGGATGGAGAGGTAACAGCGGTGCTACACAAAGAAAGTTCTTGCAACTAGGAAAATTATAGTCGTAGATGGATAATATTGTGCACTTACTAGGAAAAAAATGCTCAAGGTGAAGATATGTGATAAGACTATGTTAAGAGTTCAGAAGCACAATAATTTATACTAAAGAAGTGTTCGAGGTGAAAATATGTAATATGAGTATGTTAAGTATACACAAGCACAATCATCTATACATGTTTGAGTTCATTACCATATCTTGTGAAGTCAATTTTACTAATACTCAAGTTGAAATGACTAAAGTATGTTAATCTAGGCTAAGATTCATTCCCATATGTTGTGAAGTTAACTTTATTAAATTTCAAGTTGAGATGTCTCATATATGTCATTGTAGACAAGGACAAATGAGTAATAGATACATGCTATGTTTAGATGATAGAAGCTTGTTACATGAAAAAGGTAAAATAAATTTAAAGTTTTGTAAACGGAGTGTTATGAACAAGCATCATGTCCAAACCTTTGATGTTCAAACTCAACATTTTCAATGAACTATTTGAGTATGTATATAATGACTTGTGGAAATGCTCTCCAAAAGTTTCACTTTATGAAAAGTTATAATATGTACTTTTCTTGATGATTATTCAAACTTTGTGTAGATCTATACTTACATACAAGTTTAAAGTCTTTACCATTTTCAAGAATTGTAAAGTTGAAGATGACATTGAATAAACAAATATTAGATATTTTTGTACAAATAATGATTGATAGTATGTTTTTGAGGAGTTTTTAATTTATTTTAAAAAGAAAAGAAAAGAAAAGTATACTTTATCATCTCACAATGCTTTATACTTTGCAACAAAAAGCTATTTCTAACAATTTCAATTGAAGAGTGTTGGAGAAAGTATTCAATAAGTTAAATCAATCTTATTTACTTTAGTGTAGAATTGTCACAATCACATTATATTTAGTGATTTTTCCTCTTTCAAATCAATCCATTTTTTGACATCGTTTGGATTTATTCACAAACATATAGTTGATTACAGTTCTTCAAAAATGTTTGTTTATACATCTTATCATCTCACAAATGAAAAAATTAGAATCAAGCTGAAATACACATTCAAGTAATGTTGTTTTTGAATATGCTAGTGATGTAAAGTTTTATGGATCCAAAAGTCTATAAAGTTATTGTAATTAGAAATATTTTCTTTAATAAATCCAAATAATTGAAAGAAAATAAATTTTTACAGTCTCATCATACTGACATGGATAAATCTCTACCCATCAATGTTGTGTAGAGGAAAAATTGATCATTATGTGAATAAGGATGTGATAGAAAAAAAAGTATGATGTAAGCAAATTCCTTAAGCAAATTTTTGAAGAAAAAAATTGAAAGAACAATTTATTGTCGGTGAGTTTTAAATATCTGCATCAGATTATAAAAATCAATCAGAATTGTCTGAAAAAAGATAATCAAATTGGATCAGTAGGACTATTGGAAGGTATGAATTATGTCTTGATTACTTCATTTCTAAAAATCTTGAAATTTCAACTGATGATGAAATTGTGTTGATTTTGAAAAAAAAAAACTCTTTACTTGAAAAAACCAAAGCTTATGTTAATAATATTGAATGAAATAATGCTATGAAACATGAGATGCAACTATTAAGGTATAACATAATTTAGAACCTAATAAAGCTTACAAAAATTTATTTTTTGATTGATTGCAAGTGTATGTATAAGTTGCAATATAATCTAACAAATAACAAGAAAATTTATCAAAGAAAAATTAAAGATTAGAGATTTCACTAATAAAAAATCATGAATTATAACAAAATTGTTCATTTGTAGCAAAGTATGCCTCAATTTGATTGCTATGTGAAGATGTTGTAATGTTCAGACTAGTTTTAGATTATAATAATGTAATTACAACATAATTTCATGAAATTTTAAGGTAAAAAATCTACATGAGATTGCTACATGAAGTCTACATGAGGTATGCATAAAATCAATTTGCTTTGAGAAAAAAAAAATGGTTCGTAAATTACTGAAATCATTATATGGATTGAAATAAGCTCATAGATAGTCAAATGAAGGATTTGATGAGGCTATGAAAGCACAAGTATTTTTAAAGAGTGTGAATGATTCATGTGTATACATGAATAAAATAAATATTGAGATTTTCAAAATGAGAGCTTGGAGAAAAGAAATATAAGATTAAATCAAGACAATTAGATTCAATGTGTGCTTGATAGATTTAACAAAATAAAATCTAAAAGAATATGAGGATTTTTTAACAACACATATCAAACTCTTTGTAACTCAATGTCCAAACTATATGATTTAGAATGAAAAGATATCATCTATCTCCAATCACAAATTTGTGAGCAATCTCATGTATTTGTTGGTATGCACAAAATCAAATATTGCTCTAGATATGTTTAAGATAAACTATAATATATCAAATTGAGTTAAAATGTATTGGAAAGCAATGAAATGAATTCTTGTTTACATGAAGAGTACTAAGATTTGTGATCTATTGTTTGATGATGTATTAGATAATGATTATTCTTTGCTAAATATGTTAATTTTGACCATGAACAACATCTAGATAAGAATACATTTACAACAAGATATGTGTTTACAATTGATGATGAATTCATTAGTTAAAAAACTATTTTGCAAAAGTGCATGACTCAATCCACAACAAAAGCTGAATATATAGATTATAGAAAAAACAAATATACTATTAAATTGAATATCATTATGATGATATTAAAACAAGAGATTTTCAATCTTGTTTTAACTATCATCTTAATTATAAATTATAACTATAATAATGAAGATATTTATCGTCATTATGTTACATTTTGCTACAAATCAAGTGATAAACTAAAGATTAAAAGAAATCAACATTTAATATCAATTTATCAAAGATATAATGCACAAAAAGTATAGAGTTATTTAAAATTGACAATAAACTTACAAGCAAATGCATTAATAAAATTTATTTCTTTGGAAAAATTTCAAATAAACCATTAAAATTTATTACATATATATATTACAGTATTATTCTATTTTATGTAATCTCAATCTTAAATCTAGATAATTCTAGTTCAAAGACAAATTTATGCGACATTTTTTTCTTGAACTTAACACATAGTGCTTACATGAGTTATGAAAGTAACTATTTTCATTATATGAGTTAAAGAGTAGATTCTTAGTATTAAATCAATCATTGATTAAATTCTAATTAATCTGACATGATTTAGAATCAAATTTTGGCTTCACTTTAGTTAGGGTTAGAAATATGATACTTGCTTCTCACTATATACAAAAAATCAAGCTTCTTCTTGCATTTAACACTTTGTAATTCATTGAAAACGTTGTTCTTATTTTGGATCTAATCAAACATTATGAAACATATTTTTGTCTGCATAATGAATGTAAGAAAAATTTATAATTTGTTTGTAGATTTTTTGTTATATTTTCCGTTTTGTTAAAAAGATAATTTCATTTTTTATGCTTTAAGTACTTATTTGATAATGCATTAATAATATTTTTGTAAGTGATTGTTTATCATTTTGATGAAACTACATTGGTGATAATGATTGATGAACGTAAATACTGAGTTGAAGAGATAAAATGTATTTTTTCTCATAGTTTGTATTTTTTCCAAATTTTTGAAAATTCATCACAAAATGATCAAAGTCATCGATGTATATTTGGATCTTTGTATCATAATTTTTCATTTTAGAGCTTTATCACAATTTTTTGCAAAAAAATTATCATATGCAAGCTAAAAAAAATTGTATGATTATGATATTATCTAATTGTTTGTGAATCAAAGGTTTAGAACGTGGTATTATAATTTACGACATGAATAAAAAATTCACTTCAGTTGTTATCTAAAAGAAAAGGTTTAAACTTCAACATCTTGTATATATTTGCAAACCTCAAATTGTCTTTGATTTGATTCTTTACTAGTTCATAATCGCCTTGTTTGTATTAATCATCTATGCAAGTTTTAATTTTTCAAAATTTTAAGCAAATATTATTAATATCAAACTATTAATTTTTTGAATTGATTGTTTGTTAGAATAAATATTAATCTTCATTTGTAAAAAATAATAGCTATAGATCAAATCTTAACGTTATTGTGTTTGTTGATAGGTACAAATGGTTTTGGTTTTTTGTAAAAAATCAAGATTTTTTACAAGACCAATTTTATTGATTTTGCAATTTGGTCATAAGTTATTTATTAAAATATTTTTTACTTTGGCTACAAGTTTATTCTTATTATGAATTGTCGATTATGTCGGATATCAGGCAGCTCATATCAAATTTTTTATGATATTGTTTGTCAAAAAATTTATTTTTAAAAAAACTATAGTGCTCAAATGAAAATTTAAACACAAGTCTTTGCAAATAAATAAATTTCAACTAACTAGTTTTATTATAAAATCCATACATACAACTTCTCTTTGCTACGCTTGTTAAGTTTATTGAATCACTTTTTTTTATAAAATTCACATGAGATCAGATTTTAATACTTAAATACAGTATTTTGATTTTAATTTCTATACTATTTCAAAAACATCTACATAATAGTTTTTATTTAAGAAGCATATCAAGTTTAAAATTTAATGTAAATTGCATATTTGTGTGCTATAACATTTCATATGTAAGAAATTCATCACACAAATTCTCACATGCAGAAATTGATATCGATGACTTTGAATTTTGCAAACAATTCATGTTTAGACATTCAAGGTTTTAAAAACTTTGACCTATATCGACTCTATTGCATCTCATATTTTCATGTTCATTTGGTTTCAACTTCTTCAAGTGATGACATGATTAAAAGTCTTTGCTCCAAAACATCTAATAAATCATCAATTTCTTAACCTCATATAACTAACTCAAACAAAGTCTTCACATTTGATGCTTGCTATTTCAAATATTAAAATCACAAAATTTCATTCTTCAAGTTTGATTTAATTCTACGCTATTTTCAAAGTCTACATGCAAATGCAACTTAAATGTAATCATCTTCACATTTATGCAACTAGACATTTAGAATCTACAAACATTTTTTTTCAATTTAACATGTTCAATCAATCTGTTTGTATTTATATATAAATTCACAATTACATACAAATTTTTTTCTGCAATTTTGTTTTTGGTGATTTTTTTTGGAATTTTGTATAAATATAGTTTATTTATTCAAATGTATGATTATTTTGTTCACTTATGGCGGTATAATCTGTTAAGATTAAATATATTTTTTAAATGTGGAATGTTCTTATTGGATACATTAAATTTGCGATTTATAAAACGAGAAAAAGCTTATTTTTTGACCAGAAATTCACTAGTTTGAATTTCTGAAGTAAAGTTGGATTCATTTGACGTCCATCAACTCTTAATATTTCTGCTCGCACGATATGTACATCAGAGTCCGACATTTTCCTTCAAATTCATACCCATATCCGGACAACCATACCCATACCCATAAACATCATCAGCGAACTTTCTGCACCCATGCCCACCCATAGCATGACCTGTGTCCACCCCTCCCCACCCATTCTATTCAAATTGCGCCCATGTATTACCCACATAGGAAGTGGGTATGAGCATTGCTCATACAAACTTCAGTTTAATATCCTCTACTTCCACCACGTCGTGAATTTTACTAATTGCAAGTCATACACATTATCATCTCCATACTACATTCAGTAGACATCCAACTATGCACGATAAATTTGCACGTTGACATCAAAGGGAGCAAATCCCTTTGATACTTGACCAAGCGAGTAAACTTCTTACGTGTTAAGACCACCATCTTGCTCACTGACTTCAAAAGTCAAAATTTCACGCAGCGAAAATACACGACCGACTTCATTCGGCGATGTCTTCTTTAGTTCTTTCTCCATCACTTGCGCATTTAGAGAACTAGAGCTAGATGCCATCATCTCAATAATACAGTCGCATGTAAAATCTCCAGAATCGATGTTTGGCAGATTTACAATTATTCTATGGTGCAAGCTTGAAACAATCTAATTTGCGCAATGCGCACTCTTCTCAGACTCCGTGAGTTCATGCCAATGCGTTAGAACACACAAGAGACAACTATTACATGACAAACATACAGGTTAGTGTTCAGGTTTCAAGCAGTATAGTAGTCTTCCGGTTAAATACACACCGGTTTAGGTACGCATCCCGGTTAAGTACGCATTTTTTCGCAGAAAAATAGGGTTCAATCCATGACATGTGGTTCATTTGGTTTATGGTCTAAAATTATTACTCCTCGTAGTGGTTGTCTCATATCTGATTAGAAGCGTAAACCTCTAGTGGCTGATATATACTCGTTTAACATTAGAGACAAACTCTCATAGTAGAGAAAAAAACAAGCCACTCTCGCAAAATGAAGAAAAAATTATATCATTTTTTTGAGGTTTTAGATTATATTGGGCTATAACAGTTAACGTTGCTAGAGTCCATGATAAAATTTCAAATCACTCTCCTAGAAGCAACACCTTTTACAACTCATTTGGCAATTGAATACGACTTAGCAAATACAAATATGTGTTGGAGTCCATATATGAAATCGATAAACTCAATGCAATATTTTTTATTTGGCGGTGTCAATAGATATTAGAAGAGTGAGATTACAAAGTCTTCTCTTTATCTACATCATACATTAACTCAATTTAGCTTTGTGATTTGTTTCGTTTGTCTCATCTTCATGATCAATACACTTGCAAGTTCGAGCTCTTCAAATGGAATCATGATTTTGCTAAGTTTCTCTATGATATCAAATAGAGCTGAGTCATTTAGGAGTGTTCATATAAGGTTGTTTTGACATTACACTCAAATCAAACGATTAGGAAGTCAATTTTCTTAAGTACAAACAGCTCTCCCGGTTCATAAAGTGCGTACTTAACCGAGAGACTACTATACTAATGGGCATGGGTTCCATACCCATTTGGAAGCTATGCCCATCCATATCCACTTGGAAACAATACCCACCAATGATCAATATCCACTTGGAAACAATACCCACCAATGATCAATAATATTGTTCTCATGGCCACCCAAGACCCATGGGCATGGGCACCCAATGGTGGGCTCTCATTTACATAAAAACATCATATATATTCAGAAAATTTTCAATACTTTAGATAAATCTATCAATTTTTATCTTAGGACATTAATAATTGAATTGGTGTTTTGGTTTCATTTTAAACTTGTCTATTTAGACAACTGTTCACTTCCATTCTTTTCTGATGTTATCTAGACGGCTGACTTTGCTATACGTCAAGTGAACTCTGTAATGTAACAGTTCTGGAGGAGCCACTGTATCATAAAAAGTTCACCCGCTCAAGATGTCTCCTAGAGGGTTGATTTTTCTTAATATTTACAGTCGTGTTACATTTATAAATGAAATGACCTAATGCCTATACATCTCTCAAAAAGACAAAGAAAATCATGAACACTTCTTTGTCCTTGGATATTGTGATGTAACATTTTCTATATGCGTAATGAATTTGAAATCAACATTTGGGTCCGAAGATACCACCAAGATCTTGCCACTCTTGCATTTGCTTGGAAGTTTAAACGCTCTTCAGCATTGCAAGTGACCTATATAGAAGAGCATTGTCAATGCTAGAAATGCACAAAAGTTTCATGCAATCCGAGAATCTCCACATTTTTATGAGTGAACTCTTTAGCACCTTGGGACCACACACCCTGGTCCAGGGGAGCTAAAAACACTTCAGGACATATGTTTTTCGATGAGACATACATCACTCACCATTGGACAGCATTGATAAAACTCAACAATCGTTTTGTGAGCAGTGACGTTACTTTGACTGCAAAGTAACCATGTTGGTACAGACTATACATGGTGGTTTGCGATATGAAGCCCTCGTTTTTCGATACATATTTATGTTCATTGAATGCCTATGGTAAATGGTAAATAGATCAAGCCCGTGGGACCCAAAGGGTCAAAAGGCTAAAAAACTCAATACAAACAATCAAACTCCAAACCAGGAGAGAACCAAAAGAACCCCCTAGCTAGAGCCCAGAGCACTGTAATCCTATGATCTAGGCGAAAATTCTCGTAAGTTCCAACAATCTCGCTATAAACCTTCAAAGTGATCGTCGCAAGTCGCCCATCATCAGTGTTCAGCATCCATCTAGTAGACGGGTTGGCACCAATGTCTCATGACAGATATGTCCTGTCTAAATCACAGAAGTCACTAACGCCTCCAAAGACTGCCAAGTATCCAAACTAGGACAAAGGACGAAAGTAGTGGTGACTACTGAGTGTTACGAATACGACATGTACTGTATTTCTATCTCTAGGCGGTAGTTTCTAGACGATCGCCGAAGTTGTACTGTGGGACACATCCTACAGTAATATACAAACAGTGACACTAGACGTGGTGGTGCAAAAATCCATCAGCAGGTCTTCAACTACCATGAGATCTGTGGACGACCTTACGTCTGCACTACTGTTATCTGAACAAAAAAAGTTTGAAAACATTATTTTTGAATGGTGACATATTCAGACTCACCTTCAAGCTTTTTTCTTCGTCTGAAGTAAAAGAAATGCAGGCAATAGATGATCATAACGCTTTTTAGCACAAAAAGTGGAAACATGCAAAGTAAGATGACTAGAAGTATTGTGACCCTGTACAAATATATTATAATTACACAACTGAAAGAACACAGCAACACGAGAGTACTAAGATCTGGTGACCACAGTTTACTGCTCAAGTCAAATCCAGACTTCTAAGACCTATACACTACCAATTCGAACGTCATAAAGACAAATTGCGAGTCAATTGGATAATTGCTTTTCAAGAAAAAGTCCCCCTTCCATCCAATATATGGTAGAATCAACATCCACAAACCCAGCGCAAGAGTCCAAAGATGATTCAAGCTTTCCTAAAAACACGGCTGCTCTTATAGCTAAAACAGCCTGCGAATCAGTTCCATCTACTGCTAACTCGTATAGCTGGGAGATAGAAAAATCTATCATCGAGTTCTCCTATTTGACCCGGAGTTTCAGTTTGGTTCATAGTGAGCAGAATGTTGACCGTCATTGTTGGGCAACCATGTACCAAGCTGCACACATAGACAAACATCCACCCAAAACAATCCCTCCCCACCTTTTTTTTCTCTCCCTCCCCAACATGAGGGAACAATTTAATCCTTAAAAATACATTATAAGATTAAAAACGTGTCTTCTAGTTCTCAAGGGTAGAAACCTACACTGCCAAAGAAGGAGTAGACTACCTCCAGCAGACGACAGTATACATCGACTTGGGAGGAAAACCATACAGATTCGAAGTCTTTGACAGAAAATCTAAGGATTCCAACTGGTTGTAAAAATCCTTGGGATCCAATGCTGTGTGCCTCTAGTGACCGAATAAAGACCTGACAAAGGATTATATACACATATGTACAAGCATGTGAAAAGACAAGGGCAGACACAATGTCTCTGGGAACGTCTATTCGGCACTTTTGAGTGTCATGGTCCAGGGAGAATGGTCAAGTTCACGACATGAAACATGTAAGTTAATGAGACCGACGGATTGAGACCTTGGCGAAACACTCCACTCCAACTTAATTCGCTACTCCTCGAAACTTCCATCCCCTACCTCCTGTGAATGTCGATAAAAGAGCCCCGTGAAATGACCACAAGAGGTAGGATCTAACCGCATGGGGACTTACGTGGATAACTTCTGCGCTTGACGGGAACAAATATACCCATGCAATCTTGACCTGAGGTAGAAAAGAGTACCCATGAAGTTCCGGTTTATCCCAAATTCCTAGCACAAGACTACTCTATCTCTCAAAAAATCGGTTCTCTCTACTTAACGGCAGCCTTGAAATAGAGGTGCCCTTGAAGTGCCAATTATACTTCACTCGAAGCCCGCTGACGGACTAACAGGTAACTTGTTCTCATAGATATTGAGAAGGTGCAAGATTCAAAACATGTCTTCAATCGGATAACAGGTGGAAACGCATTCATGTAATCTTGTAAGCTGTTAAAAGGGTTTCGGATTCTCGCCACCTTCCAAGTAAATTTCTGTACAATCAGGAGGCATCAGGCTCGTCACCAAGGTCAACAAATCAAGGAAGCGGTTGACTGTTTTCAATCAGCCATCTGAAAAAACAACAAGGCACAAATTCACTTGTCAGCTTTCGAATTATATATACTTGAGTTGGTACAACCTCCAGTGCATTAGACAACACACAATGCCCTTTAAGATCAAGACCAAAACAAGTCACTTTTTAAACCCAACAGTTCAAGTGTCAGTACATACTACCTTCTTCGCAAAAAGGAAACATTGCACCTTCCCAAACATCATCTCCAGGATCAACACCGTCATTATCCTCACTCTTGCTCTGAGCATCTGTGCTTTCCACATCTTCCGCGACCTTCCTGCCGTCTTGAGAGAGACGGCCCACTTCCGCCCCTTGCTGGCCTACTTCATGTCTTTGACCATACAAAAAGTCTGGTCGCTCATCCAAGTCTCGTGCCACGATACCTCCTGGAGAGAGGCGAATCAGGGGCTCCATGTCCGCATTATCAAGCCCCATGTCCCAAGGTTGATGACCAGATGGAACGGGACTATCTTCAGACTGATGCGTACCTATTTCTTCCAAACTCATATGCTCATACAATGCCATAATCTGACTATTCACTCCATCAATGATTCCTTCATCCCCATGGACAGAATCTACTTTCGTCTCTTGCCCATAGTTGTGAGCCTCTGCTTGTAAGTTGGAAGCCAAGTGAACTCCTCTACTGACTGTCTCCAGGGAATCATGCTCACCTCGTGGACTTGAGGGCTCAAAACCCGACACTACTCCTACATCCCCTTCATTTTTGATACTGGAGGAGTTATGTCCACCGCTGTACCTGACGTCTCTTCGGCCAAGTCTCTCGAAATTTAGAGGAGGGGAACCGCTGGTATGTGTTCCAACGACACCGGGGACTGAGTTGAGAGGTTCAGAACTAAAGTTCGATGGTTCAGTGTTCATGTACTTGCTATTTACAGCTGCTCCTTGGGAGGGGTTTCTTCCAAAAGGTGTTGGGACTCCACTGCCCTGCTGCTGAGGGTGATGGAAAAAAGAGGGAGGCGAATCAAAAGACGACGGAGTAATTCCTCCCACAGGAATTTCTGGAAAGTCTGAAAGATCAAGGCAAGTTGCAGACATACAGCAAAATGGATATCAAAACCTGAAACCACGTCTTTTGGTTCTAAACACGCAAATACAAAAATTAAAATTGGTTCCCAGTCCGAAGAGGGAAGAAATGTGCATCGAGACTACTGACATACAAGACTTGATACATATGACGTACAAGCTTAGACCGTGCTTAACGATGTATAGACCTTTCCGATAACTACCCATAGAAAGCAAACTAGGAATTTGACAAAGCCGAACCTAGTTACATAACTATATATTCTTTCACGTTACATATTACATGATATGTGAGAGGTTTCCTAATCTTTTGCATTTACTTCAAGACGTAATACAACTTTGGTGTTGATAGTTAACCTTGAAAATTTTGATGGAAACCATTAACAGTACCCCCATTTGGCCCTCCTTCAGACCCAAAACTGCTCCCACTGCTTGTCCGATGAATGTGCTTACCACCAAAATTTGTCCCATTAACGCCCTCTTGAAGGCCATCATCCACAAACAGTTGCATGTGCAGGCCTGACATGGCTGGTATACTCTCTGATGCCACTTCTCTACACACCCCCATGAACCACCCGAGACAAAGTTAGATCACATACAGATGCCCAGTTCCTGGAGGGAGGACTCAGTACCCTGTTGTACTATCCAGTTATATGCCATTTTTTCTTCATAGGGTCAGCACGTAGGAATGAAATGTCTGCAGTAGAAGTTCAAAGCTTTTTAAGTCTCAACACTACGCAGCAATTGGCCCTCTCTTTGTACAGCAGAAGCGTGTTAACCAGTGACATTACTCGCGTAAGCGACATTTGAACGACCCAAACACAGGGCAGTTATATATTTCTTTATAACAGTATAGGACAACTCCCGAAGCAATTTACAAAGACGGTGCTAATAGTAATATATAATATCTACATCACCTACTGTAGTGCGGGAATCTTGCTCTAAAAAAAGGGAGTATCGACGATGAGAGCGTGCCCCACCACATGCAAATGTCTACTATCCTTCCTCCATGATTCAATTCACGTTGTAGAATAAGGAATCTAAGATAACATCGAACCTAACAGCCATGACGCTGGAATCCCTCCACTTCTGATGCACTTTTCAGCCAAATTCCTAATAAAACCTCGGCGAGAAGCGTTGATCGACTCTCTCGAGTCAGTAGCTACTACTTTACTCAGGGATGGAGACTAGCCTCTCAGAAACTTCACGAAGTTCTTAGTTAATGAGATGTTAACTCAAGTCCCAGGCTTCACATGTTACCTTCTTCCTCCTCTAACGGTAGCGAGGGGTTGGACGGGGGTACTGACAGAAACGAAGAGGTCTACCTTCGTTGCTTCAGTGACTCTAAATCAAGTTGTGAGCACGCACTCCGAGTCCTAACGAACTATGCCTACAAGGTAAAGCTAAACTACAAAACTAGTGCTCTGGTTTACAGTAACTATCTCAAATACAAAACCAGTTGAGCAACTCTACTACAGCCACAAGGCAGTAATCTTCGACAATGTTCACAAGTTCAGCTAGATTCGAATAGAGTTTTTTACCTAGAACCCTGAACTTTTGTGAAGACTTGAAGCCTCTCAATGACAGGCACCAAATCCTTTCTTCGTACTTCCACCACACGAGTTGGAATCTTTTCAATCTCAATTTCTCCCCCAATAGTATCGATGTCTGAGCTTCCCTCACTCTCCGACTCTTTAGAGAGCATGACGTGAAAATAAACCTGCAATCCCCACGGCATCCCACCGATACAGCTGATCAATTGGCAGACATGTTTTCATTGACGAAAACAATCTCATTAACTAGCAGATGTATGAATATATATATATATATATATATATATATATATATGGGTAAAACAGGTAAATATCAGGCCACAACACTGCAAGTCCGCTTGTCTTCCAGCCAATTTCATTGAGAATATTACAGCTCCATTATATAATTCAACTACCAAGCATAAATAAATGCCACACCTTTGACCTTGCCCAGACTGGCAACGGCCTAGCCTGATTGTGCATTTGCACTTCGGCGTTTGACATGAACCACCGCTGCATCTCCTCTGCAGACATGCCCTCCCTTCCTTCCCTTCCCAATCCACCACTTCCGTTGCTAGTTGGATGTCCTCCTAATCCGCCACGATGACCGCCAACGCCACCCAATACGGGCTCTTCATACCCAAGGCCTGGTCCAGCAAGGCTATCTACTCTTTCTTCTCGTTCCGCCCAATTGGCCTTTCGAGACACATCCCACCTCTCTAGTGGTTCGACCAGCAGCCGCAACTCTTGTGACGGACTTGGAGTTCCAGAGGAAGTAGAATTCACGCCTGCCAAATTGTTGCTATATCCTCCCTCAGAACTGGCTGTTGGGCGCAGTACATACCTAATGAGATTACCCGCCGGTGATAGAACCCATAGCTGCTCCTTGAGACAACCGTTGACAATATCTGGTTCGTGACTGTGATTACCCCCGTCGTGGAAAATAGAAGCAACTGCTCCAGAACTATTGCTAGCCCGACCGGTTGCAGCTGCCGCGGCACCGGTAATTGAACCTCGCCAGCTGACACCATTTTTTATTCTACTCGCGACTGAGAGATTCATAGCTTGAGGAGGCTTCGGAAGAGGTTGCTGAGCAATCCTCACTGGCCCAGGGCTTGACCACCACGGAAAAGCAGGAGCTGGCATCAGTGTAGGTCCAGTTAACCCGTCCACAGGTATGGCACTATGAGTCTGAGGACCAACTGGCCCTCCAAACGGTGAGATGGCGTAGAGATGACTGGTGCCTCTTGAAGAGCTCACAGCTAGCCACTGACTGTCACTGCTAAAGCTAATATCTTGAATAACCTGCACGTATACAGCCAAGAAAGACTTCAATGACAATCGTTTCTCGAAACGGAAGTCATCTCTGTAAATGAAAATAAGAGCTGAGAGAAAATAAGATGCAGTGGAACAAGGATGAGCGACACCTTAATTTTTATGACCATGATCACAACTATGTTCTGGGATGACTGCCTGCAAACCACTAACAGTAAAGGTTGATGCAAACAAAACCTTTCATGAAGCAGATCAACAGTTTCTGCATACATGGGCAGGTGGAACTTAGTGCAGGTCATTCAGCTTTCGTTGGTAAAATGAAAGGAGGAGCAAACCGTAAGACATAATTCATCCCCCATGGACAGGTGAAGATTCTAACCGCATTTGTCATTCCTCGATAAAGCTTGTACAAATGTACATGAGTTGTATTGGCATCAAACCCGCTAGAGGAAACACCAGTTCCTGAGACGGAAGGTAAGAGTCGAAACACGTTCAAGTTATGACCATATATTGATGCAGTGACGAGAAGAGTGCCACTGGGATCGAAGGCAAGAGCTGAGAGTGGACTCGTGTGAGCCCGAAACTGCGTTAAAATTGCTTTACTGACATGGTCACGCACAATCACCTGCAAGATGCCCCAACAATGAGTAAGTCTGCGATCTGAGACCGACAAAGATTTCCCATGAAATGCCAATCACCTAACCATTTGTGAAGTCATCACTAAGAACACTTACTGCTATACACATCTATCGTGTTAAGATCGACTTCGTGAAAGGATGCCTAAAGAACTTTCCAGAACAAGTAAATTCCAAATAGCCACGGGTCCCGAAAAAATACCATTCCAGCGTATTCTGGTTGGTCATGAGCCGCTGGGCCTGGGTAGTGACCATTGCTTGCAGGTTTGTAACTTGGACTGCCAGTCTGAGGAGAACTGGGTCCATCGGGCATAAGCTCCGAACAGTATCTCGATAAGGTCTTGTACCCCATGTCTCCAAGAGTGACAATACCCGCTGCAATGTGCTTGCTCGATTCCTTGGCATAATGCGCAACCAGGCTAGCATTATGTGGGGAAGTTGATGGACTAACACCTGGTGAAGGAGTGAGATGTTGCGGGGAGACGCGACCGGTGATGGGAGTAATGGGTTGATTGGCTGCGTAGGCAAGCCACCGTGGACCGACAGCAAGGGCTCCAAACCCGAGATTCGTTGCGCCCGGTCCAGATTGAGGTGTAGGATAGGTCAGCACACTGAAGGTGTTATTTAGTGTAACTGCATCGAACACATAAATCTGCAGATAAACACGCCATTCCGTCAAAATGGAGCACTAGTGTTCTGTCAAGGACATCCACAACCCAAGCACAAAACGTGAATGAAATGACAAACATTCTTGAGTGTTAACGTCTCACAGAACAGCTAAATCAAAAGACCTGCACTACAAAAGTCGCCTCTCCATGTTATGCTTGAGCTGAAAGACACAGTAGAAAGGCATGACGGCAAGTCGAGGCTTCATATTTGAATGTAGGAGAGCAGAGGTTGGCCTTAATAATTAACATAACGTATGTTGGAACATGAATATCGGCATTCAATTAACTCAGTCACTGGTTATAAAACAAAGGTCATGCTAAAACTTAGACATGATCAAACCATGAGATTTGGAAGCCTGAAGAATACGTGACTTAGCGACTCAAAACTCAGATGTTACAAATAAGGAAGAGCCAGCAAATAATCTTCGACGAACACTGAATCGTTACACGAGAACGTAGGGTTACTGCAGTCAAAAAGACTTCAAACCTTATGGAAATATATAAGCAAAAGGCAAGGTATCTATCAATCGAAGCCATGGAGCTCAAAGACAAGGAAGTGCATAACAGATATTTCAAAAAAGTTAGAAGGTAGACGGTCAACATTCAAGGAGATAGTCCGCACTCGGCACGAGTATTACGAGTATCGAGGTACAAAACAGGAGCATCGAAATTCTTCACGACCCGTCCATAAAAGACCACGAAAGAGAGTAAAAAGGCTACTTGCAATATAGTCGCTAGTTGAAGATACTGGTGTAATTTAAGTCAGACTTGACTGCCACAAATAATTCGTAATTTGACGACCAAAACACCCCCATCAATTATCTTGTGGAAGGCGGAAGAGACGTATAGGAAACAGGTGCATGGGAAAACTCCAAAGAAAATTCACCTGAGAATACAGAGCCACAACAACAGCCCGCGCGCAAACACGAACGGCATGTATACTCGTTCTGAATCGCAAAACATGTACATATGCATGAGTCTGTAGCGAGTAACATCGAATTGCCGTAGGTATCAACTGAGGCCCTGTGCCCCCAGGAGGACTTCCAGTCGCCCCCGCATTATAGTTTCCAGGAAAACCTCCTGGACTATGACTTCCAGTATTTGAATACTCGTCAGTCACAACGAGCATAATAGGGCGGGAAGCACTGATTGGCCCTCCGACAGAAGACTCTTGAGGATGAGGTTTGGGCAGCATCCGCAAAAATGCAACAGGCCCATCACGCCGAGACACTAGCTCTCTAACATTCTGGGCTTCTTCCACGTCCCATACTTGAAACCCATTTGAATATGTAAGCAACAAGACATGTCTACTTTCTCCTGAATCTAACTCCAACCTATCAAAGTCCGCCCACTGGACCTGCACCACAGACGAATACAACTGCCCAAATCAGTACGTAATATCTTCCTGTACATATGACCCTAAATATTAGATGGTCCGGAGTTTCCCACCCTCAGCCTGTATATAAAAGGACTACTCAACACTGGGACGCAAACACCAAAGCTTGATCATTCTAAAAGGAACAATCTCGAACCGAGAACATGTCCCCTTCAGATGAAAAATACCGACATTATAATCTGGCTTAGGTTAAAAACCTCACGGATCACAATTCAGATGAAAAGCTGAAATTAATTCTAAATTACGTGGAAATAAGTGACGACTCCTCTCATTATGGCCAAAATGAATAATATATTTCCCATCTTATGGTGTAAAAGATATCCCTAAAGGCTTACGCCGCTTCATCCTACTTATATGTATGAGCCACGGTGAGCTGCATCGACTATGGCACGAGGTTGATATCACAAAACCTTTTCACATGAGGAGAGAAACCCTGATTACCCGACAACCACTTCTTTCTTTTGACGAACTATTCATGGGCTGCAGAAATTATTGAAGCTGTAATTTGATGTGTATCGCATCCTTCTAGACAATCCAAATTAGAACAAGGAAGGAAATCCACTACCTGCTCTCGCTGTCGCTCATCCTCGTGAAGTGAGCCATTCGATATCGGGAGAACGGCTGCAGAACGTACTGTGGATGCAATATTACTTGCGTTTGCAGAAACCGAGCGTATGTATGTCGAAATTGCACGGATAGATGTCGGAAAAAAACTGCCACGGCCCCCTCTGGGACTTCGCGCATGCAAATTGACGTCGTTCTTCATCCCAACCTGACTGTAAACCTTCACTGGACTGTTTCCTTTACATGCCCAGGCTGGCACCGCACAGCCCTGGCGCCTACTATTTACTGAAAACCGTCCCCCATATCAGAGAATCAGAATCTTGATCAGCTCTCTTGCAATTGCTGGCAGCAAATCTCTATGAAGGATGCTTGTCGTCGGAGAGATACAAGGAGCTGTGTGATTATCAGCGAACTCTTGAAGATTTGATGAATCGGACCTCGCAGGCGATTCAGAAGCTTTCAGTGTCCTGCACTTTCCTTACATAATTAATATTCTTCCCAATTAGAACATCCCGAGAGGAGACAAACCCAGCAGATCGTCTCTAAAACCAAAATTTGCTAGATTATTGCAGTGAATGTGCACAAGAGATCATCGCCAGCGATGATCGCTGATGGATATGTCCTGTATAATTGAATGGTTCATATAATTTGGACAAACGAGGAACAACGGGCGCAGGAATCCTCAAAACGAAAGCGCAGCAGCAATCTAAAACAGAACATGATCCGCTGTGGATCCAAATTGGAAACGATAACCAATCAACAAATCGAATTTAGGTTCGCGGTCCTCCTCGGCACTTACCACTCTATATAGAGCAACCAATTGCCAGGCCGCAAAGGAAAACCTTAGACCCCTACTGCAGCTCAGGGCACGTTACAGTTGAGGCTGCCATGGAGGACTCGGGAAGTGTAACACCCACAGACGCAAACCAGACGCCGTGTGTCAATTACCCACCGAGAGGCGAAGCCATGTCAGGAGCAGAAGAAGAAGTGAGACCGAGGAATGGCACGCTTATAGGGTATCTGTTTCATACGTGTCCATGCCTATGTGCCCATGCCAGCGGATGCCCGAAACTTACACCATAATTCCAAAACAGGAAATTTCCCCCGCAAGGTGTTCCTTCGCCGCACTTCTCAAGGAAGCATGCAGCAACCTCCTCACATACAAAGCGAGACAGAAACCAGGAGAAGAATTGCGACTGCCGTCTGCGCTGCCTGCCTCCTCGTCCCCTTCCTCCTCCTCCTACTCCTCCTCCTCCTCCTCCGCCCCTCGCCCCAACACACCCGCGCTCCCGGCCAACAGCTCCTGCCTGCCCGACCTCAGCCTTGCACCAACTGGGCCCCCCCTCCCCTGCGCTCCCCACCCCGGGTCCCTTGCTTTCCCCTCGCTTGCCACACCAAAAACCAAATCAATTCTCCGCCAATCCTCGTCCAAGACGACGCCGACCGATCGATCTAAGCGCGAATATACAAACAGCCGGGCTATGACGAAGAAATTTGCACCACGAGTTGCACCGCACTCCCGCTCCGGTCTGGTTTCAAATCCGGACTCGGACCATAGACATTCTACCGACACACACACAAGCCATGAGCAGAGAAGCAGAACCAGCAGCAGCAGCAGCAGCAGACGAGGAGGAGGAGGAGGAGGAAGGAAGAAGAAGAAGAAGAAGAAGAAGGAGAAGGGAGAGAACAAGACGAAGAGGTCGCAAGGCGTGAAGAAAAAGCCCTCGGCGAGTTGGAGCAGCAGAACTCGGACACGCAAATGCCCTGCCTCTAAAATCGGCTCCGCGCCCCGGGCTCTAGAAAGCGTCGCGAGCGAGCGAGCGAGTGTCGTAATTACTGTGCCACTGACAACTCGTCAGGCGTTAAAGCACTCATTCGTGGAGGTGAGTTCCGAGCGAATAACTTAAAACAACTTTTCCTCTCCCCGCTTACTTACCCGGCGTCTCCACCATTAGCGTAGGGCTCCGGAAAACCACCCGCTGGAATCCTCCTTACTGCGATTCCGCTACTCAGTTCCGATCTACTGAGTTTTACCTCCCACTCTTCCTTCCTTCCTTCCTGCCTTCCGGCGTCCGCGCAGTTCGCCCCTTGCTTACACGTCAAGACGGACCACATAAAGCGTCACGCCCGTCGACACCCACTGCACTCTTCTCCTCGCCACGCTTACCGGCTGCCCCCGGCCTCCAAGCTGGCTCACTGGCAGAAGCTGAACTTCCTCACACGCAACCCGACCCGGTGCCCGGGCTCGGGTCGACTGGTTCCGGCCGTGTCACCACCGACCGACGGACGAGTCCCGTTCACAGCACGGTAAGCGTAATCGGTCGGCGAGTTAAGAAGTGCGTTCCGGCTTTCTTTAACCGGACACGGCTGGTGTGCGTGGATCGTGCCAACACGTGGTGGGTGCGGGTTGGCCGATGACGCCCGGCGACCTCTGTTCGCGGAGAATTTTAACCCTCGCCATTGGTAAGTGACTCACCGCGGCATCTCTTCGGTATATCGTCACCTACAAACGTCTGATTCCTGTCTGCCTCGGAACAGTGAGCTCCTCCTCCTGTCAGCCGCTTGCCGGTGGTCACGAATCGCCGAATCTTCCCCGCGGGCGTGCTTGAGGTTCCGATCGGCGCGACGAATCTTCAAGTCAATGGCGCCCGGATTAGCACTCAATGCGGTTAAAAGATCGTCGAGACGGGAGCTTTGCTTCTTGTTATCGCCAGGGATAATGGAGAACATGTGTGTGACATACAAAGCGATAGAATAAGCATCATCGCCGGGTCATCAAAAGCAAAAGCTTTCCCTAATCAAACGTCCATTTGTGTGGGATGAAACGTCGGAATGAAATGACCATAAGCTCGAAGTCTTCCAATGCCAGAGAGCGTTGTGTACCGTACTTAGACATGTGTGGAAGGAGTTTTGGGCATTCTGAAATCCTCTGGACCGGCCACTTTCTCTTTGTTTCACTCTGATCTATCTTCGGAGCCGGTCTTCTGCTCACGTTGACTATTAAAATATCCACTTGACTTAAGCTCATCGTCATGTACACGAAAAGTTGTAAACCACCACCATGAGAAATGCAATCTTCTTCTTTTCTGTATTTTTGTTTACTTAAGTTTCGGTCGTACGCCAATTCTCTAGTTTGATCTTTTCAAGTAACAGATAATGTGAACGCCCTCTCAATGATCTTGAAGATGGACACGACATTAAGGTACCGGCGTTAGATTTTCTATAAAGTCAAAACACCGTATCATCAACAACGAATCGAAGCGCCAAACAGCTGGATTCACAACAGTCTGAATTTTTGAGAAAGTATCTGCATGAAATCGAGACAGAAATGTACAAACAAGTTCATACGATATCCAATTTAAATCATATTTTTAGAACGAATTCAGCTTAATGTCATCTTCATGTATTCTCCCCGTTTGCAAGGTTACAAAATGGAACACGAAATCTGATACTACTTGTGACTCGAAATCTTCGCACATCTTAAAGCAAGTATTTCTCATTTACGTTACTAATGCTAACTACCGTGTAAACGTACAGTTTTCAACATATTAGCCTATTAATTAATTTTATTAAACACTTATCGATCAAATCTTGCATTAGAAATATTGCATATTAGAAAAAATGAGGAATCGGCATGTAATTCACCGATAATTATATCATTGACTAACAGTCAGTTTTAAACATAAACTTATCCAGACTGTGTTATGATACATTATGATTGACAACGGGCATAATTACTCTTATATCATTCTATCTCTGTTATGTGGTTATGATACAAGATGTGCGCGCAATCAACACTTGCCGAAAATACAACATTTTGAGTGTCAATTCGCTTGAAAGTTTGGAATTCGTGTAAATCTTCAATTTCGGCATTATGTTCTACATAATACTTGCACATTTGCATCCATAAACATTGAAGCAACCGCTGGCTTATTGACAAATTCATGATGCACTTTTTTTGGACTGAGGAAACACTCAGTATAGAATACAGAAGGGACAGGACCTGTTATACTTCTTTGAGTATTTATGATATAAAAATCTATTGCATGCAATCATTACATATGAACTTGATTTATACTTTGGAATTGACTTTCAAAGCTAAATGAATTAGTTATTGAATTAGTTATTCATGAACAAAGTACAGACTTTTATGTTATAGCCTCGAATGATAATTTTACAGCGTTACATTTTGATCCAGAATTATAATTGCAACAAACTTGAGAATAAAATGTAAAAAGAATTTTCACAATAACAAATTATAAATTTCATAAGTTCTCGCATTGTCATTCCAGATTATAGTGGACATAAATCAAAAGGGTTTGTTCGATCCTATGTATTGACCGTATCCTACTTTAATGGCCGGTAAAGGGAGTTTGTTTGTTTGTTTGTTTTTTGTATATCATCGCATCATATTAGAGTAGCTCAAATGTTTCAAGATCTTCATGTTCTGGTTTAGTGGAAGTGTTTGTTGTAATTTGGGTCAGAAATATTACATGTTTTCTGAAATATTTAATTGCTGACTTGTAAACAAATAAATGATCTGTGCCTCGTCGCGAATGTATGGTATCGCGCATAAGTACTACTTTGTGAATTTGATCACTGATTTGATGATGATTTTTATTCTGATTTAATGTTTATGTTAAGAAGAATCCATATTTGTAATCTAGTTTCAACATTTTCATGCATAATACATATTATTCATGATTGATAACATGATTTCATGCAAGTTAGTCAATGATAAAATGTAAGAAAAATAATATGGTGTCTTGTATAACACATATTAATCAATATATAAAAAATCTTGAGTATTTTTTATGCATAAAAAGTTGATCTTAATCTCTTATGCATCAACTTATTTGCAATGTATGTGATATAGATATAAACTTGTGTATGAATTGTACAATTCGAGCCTATGCATATGATCAAGACATTATGTTAGGTTGGACCACGCACGAGCATTATGGTGAGAGGTACTAAGTGTGAAGACTTTTCATATTCTGCCGTTTCGAATAAGTAATCTTATATTTGTGAATTTCTGTTTCTTCAGAGCTGATTAAATAGTATATTTACATACACACAGCAACAGCTTTGATTTTAATGAGAGCGCATAAATCAGTCAAATTATTTGGGTACATCCATTACCTCGAGCTCATTTGTGCGATCAAAGTTATGGTGTATATTATGTAACTTCAAATCATACGGATTGTTGTTATGTCTTGCATCTTCAATATTTCCATCTTCAGCTTGACATGTTTGAATTAGTGTACTATCTTTCGCTTGAGTTGTGAGTTCTCTACGTATAAATACTAAATTCATCTATCGTGTAGACAAAAATTCACAACTATAAGTTTAGGTATTTTATGATAGGTTTTTTTTCCTTCCTTATTAGCAATGAATTCATTCGTAAAAAATTGGATCTGCACAATATGTAATCCGTCATAATAGTTGATGTGTAGTTATCGGAGTGGATAACCTCATACGAAATTCAAACGCTTCTTTCATAGAGCCACACTAGAAAAAAAAGGCTTCACTTATACTTCGCTGCACTGAAGAAGTCTCGGTAGACTATGTTGTTGACTTCAAGATTCTTAGACTATTTGGTTTAAGTTTGTCCTCTCTGCATATATTCTATGATGGATGCTTTCTCAAGTGCAACTGCATCATGTGCATACAAACTTTACTTCGTTTTAAGAATACTACAATCGTTTGACATTTGTATAGGCCATAGCATCACACTATTTCTATTTTGCTCACTAGCATAAACAGTAATTTTGTCCTGGAATCCTTTATCCTACTTCCATAGAGTCTAAATGTGTGATGCGTGAATGTTTTTTTCCCTTTTATCATCAATACTCATGAAAAATGAAACTGATCAACATCTGAAGTAAAATACGATTTATGTTACCGCTGATTGTGGAACAGTTTGTCGCATAACTAGCTGAAGATCTTCCTACGCATATTTGATCCATTATCATCTGGAAGTATATTTCCACAATATATTGTACTTGACGAAACTGGGGTATGCAAGGGATAAAACCATTATGATCCTACCACAAGGGAGTGGAGGCCTAGCCAAGAGAGTCCCCTCTTCCAAGCAAGCATCCAGATTGCCATTGAGTATGCTGTAGCTGAGCGGGAGGAGGATTGAAGTAGGTACCACCGATTATCAAACGACTAGGGGAAAATCATATTAAATCAGAGTAAGTAGCTACGAAGGTTGCTGAAAAGCTGCATCGCCTTCTTGATGGTGCCCCACTCATTGCTGCCCTTTGTCCAAAGAGATAACCATCCAAAACATATAGCGTGAAAATATCCGCCCGATCCATTTCCTATTTAAGAAAAGGGCAGATTGACTTGTGCCCGCTCACAACTGAACCGGTACTGAACGTTCCAGGTCAAGACTCCTACTCCAAAACTCTTTCGCGCTCTTAAGTAAAAAAGACAAGTATTCAAGCCAACAGGGAATTTCCTGTTCGACGTGATATTTCGCGATAAGACTGGACAAATGTAAATCCTTAACCATCTGTTACCTCATCTCCTATAGCCTTTTGCCCGAGCAAGGGCTTGCGAGGCCATTCCATCCCGTGGTTTTCATCCGTACTAGTCGCCACTTTCACGTAAACGAAGGTAAAATTGCAAACTATCCTGGGCCGTAAATAAAACAATGATTACGCAGAGAGGGCTGAGGAAAAGGGGTGAATGTCGTGAGACAATGAGCACACGGTGGCATGGACACAAGGACCAGTGGATCCGTCGGACGCAGTCTTGTGCTTCGTGGGGACGAACGATGTTGTTACGCCGATTAAAGGTAGTGACCCTCGGGTATCCACCGAACGCTCTGCGCCTGAGGCATGGGACCGTAGGACTTACACAGCATGACAGTGTGACAGCGGCTGGAAAATAGTAGAAACTAGTGGACGGAAAGCGTGTCCAAGCTGCTGCGAAGTGTCAACCGATCGTGGAAGCGTTGAGATTTGGATTCTCTCTGGGAGAAGGATCGGGCTCAGGAGCGTCTGCGGGCGACGGTGCTTGGGGTGGAACTCCGAGATGCGAAAAAGGGATGATGTGAAAGGTGACAATCGGTGCAGGCTATGTAGTGTTGATGCTGGCGGTCGGTCGGTCGTCTGTTTCGGCAGCCCTCTTTTTCTCAAGCCCCTGGCATCGAAGGCAAACATTAATTTACAGTCGTGTTCGGCATGAGAGAACTGCTGGGGTGGTAAGAGAATGTGCAGGTAGGGAGGGAGCGAGGAAAAGAGGACTCCAGAAGACTGGACCGCGGCTCGAGAGGAGACGGTTCGAACTTAGAAGTCGTGTCACTCTTGGTGGTGGTTTTTTTTCGGAGAATTTTGTGCACCCTTGAATACGTCGGAAGGGAGCCGATCGAGCTCTCATTCGGTGGCCAGGTGCCCCCTCTGGCGAGTGCATATGCACCAGGAGGGGGCTGTTCGAAATGGAATGGGCTCCAACGCAGCCAATGTCTCATTTGCATCGCTAGCAAGCTTCAAAGACAAAGCAGGAATGAAAGGGCAGCGGTCTACTCTCCAGCGATGGCGATTCGCCTGCGGTAATATGTCATATCGGGTGAAACTGCTGACTGGGTGTGTCGTGGTTCTCCTAGCGTTGTATTGTACCAGCCGTGCTGCTTCAATCATTGGATGGGACGATCAATACCCAGAAGTTCGGTCTGGTTCACCAAGGTTAGGATCTCAGCTCGATTGTGCTCGACTCTCCTCCCACAACTTGCTGCAAACACTGTTTCTGGTCCGCAGGATAAATTTTTGGGTCTTGCATTGGTTGTGCACTCTGAAGATTTTCTATACCTTCAACTGTTTTCAGTCCTACTGAATTTCTATCTGTTTATCTTCGTCTCATCATGTGATTTACAAATGCAAGTCAAAGATCAACGTTGTTTTCTGTCGTAGCTGTTATGCACATCATTATTGTGAGCATGAAGTTTGGGCAAGTCCTTGTGAAGTCGTTGAAGAGGGCGAGAAAAGGCGATTGTATACCGTATTCAACCTCTACCTTTAACAATTTCATGTTCACCATGACTGCACTGTCATGTGTACCATTTAATGCTTCTAGGCATCAGCTGGTGCTGTTACATATCACCAGGTGAAAGAAAACCATTTTTAAGAGAAAATGTTAATTTGTGAAACTGATAATCTCAATCTCGTGCAATGGTGTAATCACTGTAATATCTACCTATCTGTCTCTTTAGTAGTCTACAACCACCGTTATTCTCACCTTGGCTTGTTAAGCTTCGAGTTAGCCTCAACCCCACACGGTTCAGTGCAGAAATCTTTGCACCTCGTTATCCACTGATGAAGCAAACGATACTACGTGACAGGAATTTGACGCTTCTCATTCAAACATTGTTGATGGATCTCCCCGCTGCCTCCAATATTCCACCGATCTTTTGTTCCTTGGCTCCTTCCATTAAGGATTTATATTCTCTTGTATTCAGTTACTACTTCTGTTCATAAATGATAGGTCTCAGTTTTTCTACATCGTCTTCATGTTTCTTTGCACATAGTATATTTCCTTGGCACCTTTGAGACTTAACACCTAGATCTAGTTTCTTTGGTCCTTTGCATGCTAAGCCTCAGAGCCCGATTATAAACTATCTTACCTATAGCATTCTATCTCTTCAAGAGTGGACGAATGCATGTGTTTTTGAGGATCTTAATATGTGCAGAAGTATCCAAATCTCAAGCTGGATAGAAGTAGGTTATCTCTAACGTTACCCGATGTGCTTGCGCAGCAGGCATCGCTACACAGTTCTTATCAACACCTGGAAACGCTATGAGTTGCTAAAAAAGACAGTGGCACACTACTCATCATGTAGCAATGTAGATGCTGTGAACGTCATATGGAGTGAGCCACAACCGCCGACAAAGGAACTGCACTCCAAATTGACTGAAGTAACGGAACGAAATCAAGTTGAGGTCCGGTTTAACATCAATAAGGTTGACGAGTTGAACAATAGGTTCAAACCTATAGCTGGCATCCGAACGGATGCTGTTTTTTCAGTTGATGACGATCTGGTGATTCCATGTCCCACCATGGACCTTGCCTTCAGTGTGTGGCTGAGCGCTCCGAGAAGTATGGTTGGGTTTGTGCCACGGATGCACTGGCCTAAGCAATCGGTGGGTAGTGCCACTTCTTCCTTTGACCAAGATTAGCAATCAATTTGTAAAGTTGAATTCACGTTGCTTCGCTATAATTTGGCATAATAAGCATTGCTTTCAATAACGTTCTTTATATCTTATGTTATGTTTCATAGTAAATTTCTGATTCTTAGATGTTACTGGTCGTGGCCTCGTATTTTATATGTTGCCTCACCTATCAATACGAGTGCATTGCTGTCTTCTTCTGTGATCTGAAACTTTACATTATTAGGATGCGCAGAAGCATGGACGCGAGGAGTACACTTATGGAGGTTGGTGGTCAGTATGGTGGACTGGAACTTATAGCATGATATTAACAAAGGCTTCCTTTCTTCATAAGGACTATCTTGACCTGTACACCAATACCATGCCTTCATCAATTTTAAACTTCGTGAAGCATGAAAGGTGAGATTCTTGTTTTGATCTCATGTACCTGTGTTCTTTTTCGGTTATTCGGGGAGATAGACGCTTTGAAATTACGTTTGAAGTAAACGTTGTATGTCAAAGCTCCTAGAATCAAAATTTGCGCCATGGGATCAATCAATATCCTTGGTTTTTGTTTTTTGGCCAGGTCATGCGTGGATATCAGTTTGTTTGTCTATTTACCTTGTTGCTTTTACAGTTGTCTGATATTTGTAGTTTGTAATGCATGCAGAAATTGCGAGGACATTGCAATGTCTTTCTTGGTTGCAAATGTAACCAATGCGTCCCCTCTTTGGGTCAAAGGTAAGAATTCCTCACATTCACATGGAGCAGGATTGTATATTTGTTCCTTTTCAGGACTTGAAAAGCATGGTAACTTCAATTTGTATGACTAAAAACCTACAATGTTGAAAAATTGTTAGTTGGAGAAGATGAGTATGTTGTAATGTCGTTAAATGTTTGTTGGTTTTGATTGCTTATCTTTGCAGGTGAGGTCCATGAAATTGGATCTACAGGCATTAGTAGCCTGAGCGGGCACACACAGCACCGAACGGATTGTATGAATTACTTTGTAGAAATTTTTGGTCACATGCCTTTAGTCAGCACCCGTGTTAAAGCTACAGATGCATCTGAAATTTGGTTCTGGTGATGCTGTTTATGTGCATTTCTCCACTGGAATATATATATGGTTGCATCTCTTTGTTCAAAGGCGAGAATGTGATCTCTGTCACCGAGACTCTTGCTATCGTTTGAACATCACTCGCAGAGCTTAACTGACTTTCCTTCCATGTCTCCTCTTTATTCCCGACATCCTTCTTCTGAATCTTAATTTGAAACTTAATTTTCATTTAGAGCCATGATTATGTAATTTGACTTCTGTGATTTTGAAGGGCTTGATCTCCCTTATTCCAGTCCTAATGAATTTCGCAAGTTTTATAGCTGTTTACTTCGTAAGTTTCATAGATATAACCTGAAAGTCATGGTCTATTTCTGAATGTTTAATGCCATACGTGTTTGACGTTGTCCTATTTCCTTGTACATGGTTTGAAATTTATTATTCCACCTTGATACCAAACTCACGTGATACGTTGCTTGATTTTCAAATTTCGTATGTTGAACTTTTGAAGCCATTCGCTATGGGATTATCACTAAGCACGGGAGCATAGCTACTCCTTTATACTTGTGCTCCCGCTTGATGCCCATGGCAACATCATTTGCGACCAAGTGGTGTCTAGTACAATTTTGAATTTGCTATTTAAATCGTATTTCTTCGTCTTCCCTGCCCATTTGCTCATGTGCCTCAATGCAAGAGGAGAACTGTTTTTGGTCTCATCATGGATTTCACTTTCTTGTAGAAAAAAGGCAGAGAGCTTAGAGGCTGCGATCGGGTAACTGCTCTAGTATGATATGATTCAACGCAAATAAGCATCAGGTCATGGAAATAACGAATATCTTTTTCCAACATTCCTCTGGTATATGAATAGAGGGAAGAGTTCAGCAGAAAAAAAGGAAGGAAAGACACGTATGAATGCAAGACGGAACCCTGAAAAGAGTGAAGTAATGTTTGATCCGGGTAACGTTCAAATGCGAATTAGGCAGTAGGGGATCTAAGGGGTGAAAACTATGTAGATTTTGTTGTATAGGTGAGTTGCGAGTAAAGACACAGCTCCAGACGGCCAAATTCTACACATTGCATAATTGTTTCATAAGGTTATCGATACACACATGATAGTGTAGGAAATAATGATCAACAAGGATGTACATGAATATCATCAACTATCAATAAAGGTAGTTGTAAGAAGAAACGAATTTCTCAATTGGAAACCGAGACAGATATTTATGTATACTGTTTTTACGTTTAATTAATATTATTCGGTTAATTTTGTGATCATAACATGTACAATAATAATATGGTCATCATGTATCACGTACAAGTAAATCTAAATAAACCTGAACTTTAAAGTATATTTTTGTTCATATTTGTACTCAATATCATAGGTAATTGTAATATGTTTTTCATATATGAATTGAACAAGAGTGTGATTGTTTGATGAGTATTGATGATGAATATTGATTGATATTCATCATCTAAATGTTAGATGGATGCAACAAGCGAATATTGAATCTTATTAACATATGGCGGGTAAGATATATAACTTTGATTCATGTTCGTACTAAGACTACGTACATCGGTTTAAACAGGTGGAAATTGTTGGTTGATTAAGATACATGTAATCACATTTATGTTCCAATTGGTGGGCAAAAAGAAAACAATCAAGATCGAATGTCGTACATAAGTGAATATAAATACATATATTGTTTCATAAAATGAAACCTAAAGTTGATCAAGATGCATGGAGATCTTTTATCTATACCAATTATTGGACGAAAATAGATTAGGCCAGATCCAAAATCTCACATTAGTAAATTAAATTTTGTCTTTTATATCATATAGAGTGAATGTTTTTCCATGTAATGACAGACAAATACCAAAATGGAGCATAATGATACACATCAGATCCCACGAAAACAAAAACAATCACAAAAGTCACGATTTGTCACAAAATAACATTCTATTAAAGAGCTTCACTTCTTAGGCCAATGCCACTCCCAGAATACACTACCCAGCTAGAGCCGAAGACCCGCAGAGTAGTGCGTAACCATACTCACAGCTTGAAACTTTTCCAAACAACACTTGTAGGAATCGATTGCAATTCCACACTTATATTTCAGGGGGAAAACTTCCGAGCATTGCATACATCTCAACTCACTGACCCGAATACTAAGACCCGAATTTGCTTAAATCCCAAGGAGCCTCGATCACTCAGAACATTCAAGCCGAATACAACACATGCGGTAACTTAGAAAAACAGGAGCGCACCGTGCCCAATGTCTAGATCACACACCAGCACGCAGACAAAGTGGATACAAGTTTACAGTCAAGACAAGCCAATTGACAGAAAAGACCCTCAAGGAAAGAACCTTGGGCCTCTTTATTCACAATGGCAACTCTGGAATATCAACCGCTTGAGGCGAATCGGTCTCAAGGGCTGTGCCGTCCGATGTAACGGTTACGGCGTCGTCTGAACTTACATCTCCTCCTATCATACGCAACACGTTTACAATCTCTACTTCTACATTCTGGCGCGCCTCATTCAATCCCTCTGAAAATGTGTTAACTAACTCTACAATTTGTTTGTCTCCTGCGGATCTGTTGGTCTTGGTACTCATCAGCCGCCGCTCAAGCAAATCAAGCTTCAACCACTTCACCGTTTGCAATCCACACATCGCGAACCCGTTCATGCACTTCTCTAACCGCAATTTCAACTCGTTGGTTGACTCGTCCCGCAGCTGACGGTAGGCCTCCTCTGCCTTCTCCATTCTCCTCTGCGACTCTTGCGATCTCATGTCCGCCTTTCCTAACTGCTCTCGCAACCGTCGGAAGTCAGATTCAACCTTTAATCTACATTCGACCTCCAAAGACTTGGCCGATTCACAATCTGTCAATTTCTTGGCCCAATCCGCTAACTCTTCTTCATGCTTCTATTATACCGCTGACAGACTCGCTGATAGCTCCTCCACACGTCGGAATTCCATATCACACTTCCCTTCAATCTCCAAAATTTTGCTACGAAGATCTTCTTCCGCCGTCTTCACATCTGCTATTTTGCCCCAAAGTTCTTCGGCGATACGAACTTCTTTGGCTCTTCGGACCTCCAACTTAGCAAGTTCCTTAATATAATTCTTCTCTCGCTTCTCCGCTGTGGTGATCAGCCGCTCCAATCGTTTGATTGCTTCATCGTAAGCTTCTCTGAATTTCTCCAACCTCGCAATCAAATCACTGTCACTTTCTATGCATTCTCATTAGACTTACGAAGTCCACCACAAGTTTCTTCTAACGAAGCACATCGCTCGGATTCCTTCGTTAGATTCAGCTGCAGCACTTCACACTCAGTTTCCTTCTCCCGAAGATGAGCTTCTCGCTTTTGCAATGTCGCCTTCACTGCCGCGCACTCGGTTGACAAGGTTGCAGCTCGCTCCCGTGCCAATGCAGTCGCGGAATCCCACTCCCTCATTACTGCAACTGCTCTCTTGAGCTTCGTCATGTTCCTAATCAACTATACGTAGAATCCTGGCTCCTTCGATACAGCATATATATCTCTCTCTTCCCATCCAAGTACTTCAACAATGGAACTACACTATCCTGCAAGAAATCAAGAATGTAACTTCCAACAACTTCGCCCGAAGCTTTCTTCTCTTCTTCGGGTCTCACCTCTTCCACCTGAGATGTCGGTAGTGTAATGCCATCGTTCTCTACCACCGTCCCTTCAATCCGTGCAACAACCTGCTTCAGAATCTTCTCGTTCAAAGTGGACTCCTTCTCCAGGTCATCGTTCATCTTTAGTTGTGGTGTTTCTTCATCCCGCGCAGACCGTGTCTGCTCCGAAGACAGAGAAATCGGATTTATCAACCCAGTTCCCTACTTCAAAGGTTCTGCAGGTATGTCTGCTGGAACTTCAATTGACACCCCTGAAGGTCCTCCTATCTCCACAGGCCGCGTCGACTCGCCAGCTGCGACTTCGGATGTGTTCACAATTGGTGCCACTGTCTTCTCTACGCTGCTGTCCGACACTTCAGTTGTCACCATTCTCAGATTCGCCCTCTTCTTTGGTCTTGCGCGTGATCTCGGCTGCCTAACTCCATCTAACTCAATGTCCACCCTTCTCACTTCGTGGGCCAATTCTTCCTCGTCATCACTCACTACCTTCCTTCTCTTCGCCAATCTCAAATCTCTCTGTCTTCTCCCGTCTCTGCACCACGTCCACCTGAACTGGTCCCCTGGCTGTAGTATGTGTTGGGATTGAGGGGGGTCGGTTCTCGTCTTCGGTCCCTTCACTGGACTCGGCTGTCAAGATTTTCCTTTCCCTCGGAAATCGCTTCTCCTCCTCCCTCGTAAGCAACCCCATTCCTCGATAGAAATTCACCAGAAAGGGAGTGATGTGATTGGTCAAAGGTCCCGTCCACCGGGAGCCCGCATTCACCCAGACAAGATCGTAAAAGATCCTTGTCCAATGTACTCGCTGTCGCTTCAAGATGCGTTCAAAGAATCCTAGTTGCCAGGCCGTCACATACGTTGTGCGTGTCGACCGCAAGATGTGCATAATTCCCAAAGTGATCGCCCTTCTCTTCGAATCTTTATAATCGACAGTCTTTCATCCGTTAGTCGTCTGTCTCCCAGACTCAAAGAGAGGCCCGTAAGAAAATTCCTCAACGCGTGTAAGTCCTACGCTATTCTTCTCGAATAGAAGATCTCCGTCGCTGCCCGCACACAGTCCCATTACCTTCGTCCAATGCTCGATGGTCCACAGCATGGGATTATCGCGGAGCTCCTCGCATTTGGTCGTGCTCTTGTCCATTACATCCTTGCAGATACTCGCCGAGACGCAATTCCAATTCCACAAAAGAAATTCAAGCCGCAATTCACTCAACTCGCATCTGAAAGGTCGCAATTCTTCATAAGACATCTTTAAGAGAACCAATTTCCTCACCTTCTCACTCTTCTTGGGCGCCATGTCTTCAATTTGCGTTTCGCTACTTGCGAGCTTGGTCGATTTCGCTTCCTCTCTCTCTCGCTCGTTATTGCTCGATATCGCAATGTCGGCGCGAAGACTCCTCGTACTACCTTTACCTTCAAAGCCCTAACATCGCCTCCTTCCGCGCCCAGTAGAACTTCCCGACTCGTGCGAACGTCGTCCGGCCTGTTGCATGATTTGAAATTGTTTCCGATGTCTTCGTCGAAGACATAGCTCTTCGCATGTCCAGAAAAGGCTGCGCCGAATACCCGAAGATCCGAAGATCCTCGGACTTAGATGAATTCTAACTAAATCTATCATTTCTGCTCAATCTAACT